ACTTAAATGTATCATGCAAGAGTCTGCATCTCTAATAAAAAAGTTGAAAGAATTGCCAAATCAGAGAGTCTCAAGGGTATTAGAAAGTAGTGAATACACATGGACCTTGTTTTGAATTAAATAGGTGCTGTTACATACTACGTACTATTCTTCTGTTATTTACTGCTGACTAAATATATTGTCTTTTACAGTTGGGTTATGCTTTGCAACCGTTTTATGAAAGACTGTTGACCTTAGTCTTTGTGTATATGATGCATTCTTATAGTTGTTCATTAGTAGTTACAAACACTTAGTATGAGTTAGCATTGGGAAAGTGTGCAAAGATCTGTAATGGAAAGAAGTCCCCATTCACAGAATCAGCACTGTGTAATTTTGTGTTTCAGTTTATATTTAGTTGTCTTCCTCTCCAGGTTTTCTCCATTGTTTTTGCATTTTTTAAAGAAATTAAACAAAAAGTTTTAGATTTATCTTTTGTCTTGTGTTTATTCAGTAACTGATGGCTGCTCAAATTTACATAGTTCATAGTCACAGTTCAGATGAAACAGGTGTTTGGGAGGAGTTGTTTTTCTCATCTTTTCCCCTTTCCTCTGGGGTGGTATGTTCCACAGATTTGCAAGACTGAAGTTGAGGAGGGGCATTTGGGAAAAATGAAGACATTTTATTAAATAAAAGTTGAAATCCAGAATAAGTCAGGTAGGTTGGCAGTGCAGGATTACTCTCATTCTTCTGAATCGGTTCTTAAAATATGAAAGAGAAATGAGTCTCTGATCTTTCTTTAACTTTGTTCAGTCTCCTAAACATGTCAAAACTGCTGCTGCAGTATGACATTTTCTATTAAAACCTTGTTTTAAACTTTTCATATAGGCTGTTAAATTGCTGTTGTGTGGTGAAGCTCCTATCAGGTCTACCTATAACACAGACATGTTACCTTTTGAGAGAAGGAACAAATCTTTTTTCCTGGGCTTTAGGTTTACTAGAAAAGGAAGTTCTTGGAGGATATTAGTTTGCTGTAAAGCTTATCAAAACCAACCAACCAAACCCCTTCCTTTTCAAGCCCCCACCCCCAAGCAGCACTTGTTTTGTGATGAGGCCAGCAGTACTCTTAAGACAGTGCCTTGGAGGTAGACCAAATCTGTCAGTCACTACACAGGAGGTATGACTCCGTCTTTTAAGGAACAATCACTTTTAATCTACTTACTACTTCAGCTCTGCTGGCAGAGTAGCTTTTCATTGCTGCAGAACCCATTTAAACAAAGTGGAGAAGGAAGGAGTCTTGCCTAAAATCCTGCAGCCCTTGAGTGTTTCAGTTGACAAAGAGTATTCCCTTTTTTTACTTAATTGCACATTCTGCTTGCTTCTGCTGAGTAAAGCCTGACAGAGCTGGGAAGGAGAGGTGGATATTGAAATTTCTGCATTTCTACTACTGACTGAGTATTGTCATGGAGCCCTGCCTGTTCTACAGAGGCTGGAGCCTTTTTTGGAGTCAGACTAGACTTGATCTTTCTCTTGGCCTTTATGGGATTACTCTCAGCACTAGTTACTCAGCTCATCTTCTGAGCCTGGAATGGAACATGGTGCAGGCCATGAATATTTCTTGCAGGAGGAATCTGGAGAAGTTTAGTGCAGAGGTTGCCCACCCAAACAAGGGTGAGGCTTGAATGTCAAGGGATGAGTGAAGAACAAACCACAGATATTAAAAATGGTGTCAGTATTTAATGTTGTAAATGATAACTGGCTGATGCCATAAACGAACTGCAGGCATACATTCCCCACCATCACACGCACCCTCTGAGGGAGTATAATAGTGTAGTAGGCATTTCCTGACACTCCTAGGAGATGTGGATAATACTGGATAGTCATCTCCAGTTGTTGTTATAGGTCACCGAGGAGCAAAAGCCTAGTTATTAGGACCAGGTTTGGTAGCACATTGCTGTGACTTCCCTGTGACTCTTTCAGCAGATAGCCAAAGTGGAGTAGTAGCGCAGATGCAGAACAGCAGTAGGTCAGGGTGCCCCTTACTTTCTTCATGCTCCTTCTCTTAGCTTCCAGTCATGTTCTTTGGTGTGTAACAGTCAACCTAATCAGATAACACTATTGAGGAATTTTGTGCCTGGTGGTTTTGCTTTTTCAGAAATTAGTTGTTTTTATTTGTGTATTATGGAGTTATTTGCTTCTTGACATACTGATGTTTCTTAGGCAATGAGTTGTAGCCAATGTATCCTCTTCCAGGTAATGCTCCTGGCTACGGAGTGATGAAAACTTCAAAATTCAGAGAAGTATGAATATTGAGCTCTCCATTTGTCATTAGTAGGAGTACATTTTATCTGCTCTGTAATTGAAGAATATGTAGTTCCATATCTTAATATGCCATTTTTCAGAGATATTATTTGAGCAAACACTAGACAATATATCTCTGTCACTGTAAATTCTTGTCTTCTAAATTAAGACTATTGGAAGGGTTTCTAAAAATTCAAGTAGTGATTGGGTTCTGAGGCAGGAAGTGTGCTGCTCTTGCCCTTTTCTGGATAACCTCAGCCAAGCTTCATCCAGAATGAAGGATCCAAGCTAAGGATGCTGAGTTATTGTGTAACAGGCTATTTAATACCATCTTGGTGAATGCCCTGTCTTGAAACGGAATTGAAGACTGTTAGTTTTGATAGCCTCCCTTGTCTCTTGGACTGTGGGTCAGGACCCCTGTGGTAGCAGTTTTAGATGGCTGCGGTCAGCCCGTGCTCATTTTGTCCTGCTGAGGGATGGGAAATGGGGGAGTGAGAACAGGATGCAATTACTAGGTGCAAATGTTTACTCCCAGAGCTGCTAACTAACTTTGTTGGTATCCACTCACTTCCTTCAAGGTAGAGAGCATAAACACTTGCATTCTGTAATTTCAGTTGGTTCTCACTCCAGTGCTCTGGGGTATTAGACCTAAAGGATGTCATGGAAAGGAATGAGGCAGGTGATGGTTGTGTTTTTTGAAAATCGTGATAAACGCTCTGCAGCTAGTCTGTAGAAAAAATTGAGTAGTAATGTTTGTGACTTTTTTAAAGCAAAAATGTCCTGCAAGTGTGTTTACAGTCTGTTAAAACTTCTGAGAATTAACAATGACCTGTTTCATCTGAGATCCTTGTGAGAACTTTGTAGAACTTGTCTAGAAACTTCTTCTGCAAGAAGGATGAGAAGCTGTGTCTAGTCACTAGTCTTGTGAGTACTAGTTCATGTGCCTCCTGTTTCTGCTGGTTGGTAAACCTCTGTGGATGCTCCTACTGAGATTCCATCGGACATCTATTACCTCTTCCTCACTTCTTTCTTAACCACCTCTTGTTAAAGAAGACTAAGTAGCTACTTCCAGTAAAAGTAAGCTTGTGTAAACAGTCAAGGGTTCAGCAGGTTCTTAACAGTTTACTCCTGTAACTGCCTTTCCGTACAATTTGCAGCAGTTCAAGCATGGTTATATAAGTAAGAGGAGCAATTTCTGTAGTGTTAAGGGCAAAATGGCCAACTGACAAGAACATGAAATGAAGTTGCGTTCAAAGGAAACTGTTGTAAAAGCTAAATGTATAGAATGGAAATTATATAAAAAAACCCCAAGCATTTATTTCTGTACAAAGTAGTCTGGATTTCTAGCAGTAGATCTGTTTGATGTTCTGTATAAATCTGGGAGTTTTAATGTTCTTTGACTGTAGTTAAGATGAGCTAGGGACCAAATGCCTGGTTCCACTGGTGACCGCAAGCATTTTATTGCTCACCTTTGTTATCCTGTGATGCATTTCAGTTGGAAGACTGGTGCTGGCAGTTTTAATAAGTCATGCTTACTCAGGGAGCCCTGGTTTTCTGAATTCCTCAGTGTACAGCTGTAATGCGTATCACCAAATCAGAGAATGGTTGAGGTTGGAAGGCATGTCCAGAGGTCGTCTCATCCAACCCCTCTGCTCAAGCAGGGTCACCTGCAGCCAGTTGCTCAGGATGGTATCCAGACAGCTTTTGAGTATCTCCAAGGATGGAGACTCCACAACCTCTCTGGGCAACCTGTGCCACTGCTTGGTCACCTGCACAGTAAAAAAAAGTTTTCTTGGTGTTCAGAGGGAATCTCCTGTGTTTCAGTTTGTGCCCACTGCCACTGGTTCTGTCACTGGGCTCCACTGAGAAGAGCCTGGCTCCCTCTTCTGTACACCCTCCCTTTAGATATTTATAAACATTGATTTGATCCCTGTGAGGCTTCTCTAAGCTAAACAAATCTGACTCTCAGCCTTTCCCCATGTGAGAGGTGTTGCAGTCAGTTATCTTAGTGGCCCTTCACTGGACTCTTTCCCGTATGTCCATGTGTCTCTTGTACTGGGGAGCCCAGAGCTGAACAAAGTACCCCACGTGTCTCACCAGCGCCAAGTAGAGCCGTCAACCTGTTGGCAATGCTCCTCCAAATGCAGCCCAGGATACCATTAACCTTCGTTGCCTCAAGGGCCCATTGGCTCGTCGCCAACTTGATGTCCACCAAGAGCCCTGGGTTCTTTTCTGCCAAGCTGCTTTCCAGGCAGTTGACACCAGCATGTATTAATGCATGGGGTTGTTCCTCCCAGGGGACAGGATATTGCAGTTCCCTTTGAACTACATGACTAGAAAGGAGATGATAATATTTTGTTTGAAGTTACACATTAATACCAAAACTACTGGAGTTTAGCTGTTTGCCCCTTTTGATTTAAGGAATGCTGATGAAGTTATTCAAAAGAGGTGGTGGCTGTAGTGTTAGCTTCTAGGAGGGAAACACTGAGAAGTATATTCAGGACTGATACTAGCTTTACTTGCTGGTGTTGTACTCTTCAGATGATAATGGCAATAGATTGCTGACAGCGATTATTTATTCTGTCTTGGAGATTTTAATAGGATAGACGAACATTGTTAGAGAAAGGGCTTGCATGTATCTGATCCTGCACTGTGGCAGTACTGTGGAATAAAGGACCTTTTGAGTCCTTTACAGACTTTTTTTTTTTTTTTGTGAAATGACTGTACTTTCATGTCCACTGATATTTTAGTCTAATTTCCTCAAGATGTACTTCTGCTACACTTTGAGTTCAGATGTTTGTGTTCAAGTTGCATCTTTGAATCATTAGCATTTGGGCAGCGGTTTGTGGAAGTTTTCCAACTAGCGCCTTCTTATAAACAGCTATCTCTTCTGCCAATAATAGACTTGATCTCTCTCCCGTTCCCCAAGAAAGGTAATATTCAGATAAACTGGAGTACATTAACACATTTCCTCTCTTTGGACACTGGCTTCTTACTATCTTCATGAATCTTGGTGTAAACACTACTGAAATTTCTGGGATTTTGCTTCTGAAAGCTTTTCTGAACCTGGGTGGTTTTGGTTTTGGGTTGGGTTTTTTTTTTTTCAAAGCACCAGCAGAAGCAGTAATTTAGCTTCCGCTTAAATCTGCAAGAATAGTAGGCACAAGCAAGGCAACTGTATTACAACTGTGGAGTTGACTTAAAATATAGCCGTTAGAAGAAATCTGGGAATGAGCATGGAAAAACATTTGGGCTCTGATCCTGTATTCATATTTGTGGAAGCGGATCGCTTATAGGCTTTGTTGTTGACGGAGATCTAGAGAGTTGCATAAATCTTCACTGTTGGGTCAGACTGATGGATTAGGATCACAGTTGTCTAATAGTGTTTTTAGTGATGCTTTTGTACAGAATTCTGAAAGATGTCAAAATGTTCTAGTAACATCACAAACTTATTGCTTAGTTGTTTTTGTTGTTTTTTTTTTTAACTTGTGTACAAGCCTGACTTAAGGAAGGGGGATGCAAAGAGATGAACCTGTGAGTTAAATAATCCAAGGGTAGATTTAGTCATTGCAATTCTTACATAACTTTGAGGACAGTGATAGAAGAAGACCTCTTCTGTTGAAAAGCTAAACAGCTTTTCAGTAGTGGAGAGGAAATAATAAATTTCTGCTAAAGCTTTAATGCAGTGACTTACTGCCCGATAGAGTGGAGTTATTTAAAGTATTGGGAGCCTTTGCTTTGTTAGCTAGCTTGTTTACAGCAGTGTTTTCTATGCTAGAACTTTTTTGGAAGACAGTGCTCTTCTAACTTGGTACCCTAGAATTTTAGCAAACCTGTTCCCACAAAACCTCACAGATAGTAATCTAAAGTAAGTCAGTAGCAGAATAGGAAGCTGCACTGAGAAGCAGAGTCCTTCATACTTAATCTTAAAAGGTAATAAGATAAGTTTATAATACTATTTCAAATATTTCAGTATATTTATGCCATGGAGATGTGGACTTCTTAAAATTCCCTTTTATGGATCTTTCTTGGGCTTCCAGAGCAGCTCATGGTGTGTCAATTGTTAAGTGGCAGAAAGCTATGTGTTTATGTTTGTATTCAGTGAGTTCGGAGCAAATAATGTTACAATCATTCCTTCACTTTTTTTGTAGCATTTGGATTAAAGGTAGAAGAATTAAACAGCTCATTTTTAGTTTTTTCTTGAACAGATCCGAATTATTAGATGTACTGCTTATCTGTAACGTACAGGAATGTTTACCGGCTGGCCTACCCAGAAACAGCAGTGCTGTAGTATCTCTTCAAACTAGAGGCTGGTGATTTCCCTGTTTTATACAGATCATACTTTTTTTTAAATACAGTGAGCAGTTAAGTTGCAGTTGAGATAAAAAGGTTATCCTGTTGGCTAGGAGATTTTTTAATTAGCGAGGGGAGAAAATGGCATTTGGAAGTGTTGATTTGAGTCTATGCTTTGTTTGAAAACAAAACCTCTTTTTTTTTTTAAAGGAAGACTGAAAAGCTTTACTTGGATTGCTCTCTGCAATTCTAAATGGTTGCCTTCGTTATTAGTACTTGTAAAAATTGCTTGTTCAGGAAAGCTTTAGAAAATAATTTGCCTGAAGAGGCACCAATGTAGCAAATGCAAATGAAAAAGAAAATAACTGATCTTTCAGTATTATGCATAGCAGAATAAGCAAAAAGCAGGGCTGGGGGGATGACATTCCATGATTTCTCTGTTACCTTGAGGTTTTGGGCTTGGGAGATAGGAAACTAAGAATTTTTGAATGTGTCTGTGAATTTTTTGGTTTTAGATATACAATGACATATCTCTTAAGTTTTGGGTACATACAGGTTAGTAGGCTAGTGGATCTGGTATCATGAGAGTGGGAAAAGTAGCGATAGGATTATTTTTATCGTGAAAGTCTTTGTGTTTAACTAAAACTCAAAAAGACGAGGAAGATGGAGGAGTGTGTCTTGTCTTGATTTTGTTCGGCAACCCATTCCCTCCTAAGGCAGTGAATGGCTTATCTTTATTATGAGCTGTACTTTTTATTTATAATGCCTAGAAAACTTGATATTTTGAAATTGCATGTAAAAATGTACTTTTAATGAAAAAAGTTCTGCTAATCATTGTGTTTGATTACAAATGCAGGCAAGTCTAGTGTTCCATGTTTTTCCTCTATTCACTTAGTGGTTTTTGGGTGGAAGGGGAGGGAAGAGAGAGGCAGACCAGGGCTAGCCATTACTTTCCTCTAGAATGTCATACCATTATTCTTTACACTCTTACTACTTTCAGCTCTTATTTTCATGGCTGCTTTGACAGTATTGGTAGACTCAGGCATATTTTCGTTCTCCACAGTAATTCTGGGAGTAGTGGCCTTTTTCTTCTCTTCACCCTTTTTCTTTAGATGTAAAATGCTAGATCAGTTCCTTTTCGTATAAACTAAACCAAACCTAACTTTAAACATGCATTTTAAATTTGGTTCATTTAAAAAGTTTGGGTTTTTTTCAGTTGGGTGATGAAACTTGGCTAAATCACAAACTTTAAGCAATACTGACATCTAATAACTTTGTTGCTATACTTATTTGCTATCCCAGATATTGCTTTATATAAAGCATTGTATTTTGAAGCACCTTTGCATTGGTAAAGCACAGTCGTAAACTGATTCACACTACACTAGACAAGTTGGTTTGATATGAGACTATTTCTTATAAGAGTTTCTCTCTTTTTCTCTGAATTTTTCTTTTTGCTCTAGTTTTTATTTGGTGTATTTACTGAAGTATTCAGTGTCTGAATAACATCAAGTGGATGCATATTCTGCTTAGTGCTTGATGCATATCCTGTAGCAACTTAACCATATTTGTGCAGTGGAAGTATGTTCAGTACAGATGTTAATTTTGGACATTCGTAGGGTTTTTCAACAACACTTCCAAGTATTTAAATTGTAGGCACAATATTGTAGGCATGTAATTCTTTGGCCATTAGTATGTTGCTGTAAATAAAGAATACCTAGTTAGCTGAAGCAAATGACTAAGTAAGTTTGCTAACTCTGTGTCAGACATTATTGTCTTTTATTGTACAAGTTGATTTGGGGTCTGATTAAGCAGATCAGTGTTGCAGTGCAATTTACAAGGTGCCAAGTAGCATGTCAGTATGGGAGGAAAGTTAAGTGACTGTCATTATTAACACTGTGGAGGAAGAGTAGGGAAGAGACTTATGTCCACAATTATCTGCCTTCCCACCTGCACAGGCTCTGGAATTGGGTTCTGTGGATTTGCAGGTTTGAAGGAGAAAAGCATTAAACTTTTAAAAACTACAATTTTCATAACTATTTCTTGAAATCCCATTAGTTTCATAAATACTGTTTTCCTTTTGATAAAGTTTGAGAAACCTTGTGATAATGGAATGAACAAAATGTGGCAGAAGCAATTACTGCTCCTGGAGTTAAAACTGCCAAAAATAACTTTCTGTAGTGATCTTTCTTGATTCTAAACAATAATGTATTGTTTTATTTTTACAGATGACTATGGATGAGAAATATGTGAATAGCATTTGGGATCTTCTAAAAAATGCAATCCAAGAGATCCAGCGTAAGAACAATAGTGGTCTCAGTTTTGAGGAGCTGTATAGGAATGCATATACAATGGTATTGCATAAACATGGTGAAAAACTCTACACTGGACTAAGAGAAGTGGTCACTGAGCATCTAATAAACAAGGTATGTCATTTTATTAATTAAAATTGAAATGTCTTATATGAAAGAACTCTGAATAGTTATTTAAATGACAAAAAAAATTTAACTTTATTATGTTATTATGTTGCCTTGTGTTGACATTGTATTGCAACCCTCAAAAGTGGTAGCTTAGAGCTAAGCTAACATCAAGCTTAAATGACTTCTTATTCCAGATACTGTTTAAGTTATTCATGGAGGGTGGACCATAGGAAGTATTTGAAAGTGTGTAACAGGTAACAACTTTAGCTGAAGCATAACTGTTGAGAACTGGGAATTTTTTTTAAAAGGTTTGTGGCCTTTTGGTGGCAATTTGTGACTTTCTCAGAACAATTTTTGGTTTGTTTTCAAGTCAGTTTTTTCATCTGTGGAACAAAAATACCAATTTAAGAACCTGTTTGCTATGGGGTAATGAACTAATTCACAAGTTAATGAGAGAGTTGTGCTAGGATTACTCTATTTAAAGAGGCGGTAGGCAATGTACAAAAACATCAGCTCAGCAACAACAAAAGTCTAGAGTAGTCTGCATTCTATCATTTCAGCCTTTTCAAAACCATGTAATTCAGTCAAAAAGACGTGCAGAAACTTCTTGTTTCTGAAGATGTATCATCTGAGAAGAGGGCTCTTCACATTTTATGGTAAACCATGGAACCACCTCTTGAGTCTTTGTGAGCAAAGTTTAGGGTTGATTAATAAGTATGTCACTGAAAAAAAAGTTAAAACTCACTTTTTATGAGTCCAGATAATATTTACTGGTAATAGGATCATAAGTCTAGGGAAGATGCCTTACTCCTTGCGGTAACATCCATAGCTGCCTGTTTTTGAAAAGAGACACATTTGATTTCATATACTGGCTGTGGGTCCAGATGGAATGTCAGATTTTTGTTCTGTTATTACAACATTTGAAAAGGAAAGTCATAAACCATCATGTGTCTTGGATGATTACTTATGGCTGAATTACAGAGAGTGGATGGGAGGTTTATGTCTAAATAATGCATAATACTTGGGGAGCTTTTTGTGCATTCTGACTAGAGTTACTCCTGTGGCAGAGAAGTGTGTTCATTTCTTTTCTAAAATCTTAGTTTTCAAAGGGGTGTTCCAGAAAAGTATAGTCTAGAACTGCTTTGAATGTGGAGCTTTTTTACTGTTTGCATGAGAGGAAACATCCTGTATGAAGTGGCTAAATAATTTATGGCTCTGTTCTATAATTGTAGCACATCTGTGACTCTCAAACACTTATGTTTTCATAATCTGTGCATTCATAATCTGTACTATTCATATAAAATGTGGCAAATGGCTGAGGCTTTTTGTGCCTTGTTCTTGTATGTGCCTATGTTTACAGTTTATACTTAATAATCACGACACTAAACTTTTATTCTTTTAGGCTTTAGTTTACCCTGGCTTAATTTGAGGAAAGCTTCTTATCTTTGTTCCTAGCTATTCTGCATATTAAAAATTATCCATATACACAACTAATTATTCTGAAGTGCTGATTGTGGCAAACTGACAAAAGAGCAGAAGATCCTGTGAGTTTGTACTGTCACTGCACTGGCTGAGAGGGTTGTACAGATACCAGTGTAGAGAATTGCCTGACACTTAATGCAATTGTATCTAATGCTTAAAAAGCAAAAAATAATCTCCAATGATCTAGTATTCTGATCTTTAATGTGATTAATCAAATTCTATCTATGTGTATGGGTAACATAAAAATGGATGATCAAAAGCTGTTTAAATAAAAAGGCTAACTACTGAGTTTTAGTAGTTAAATGCTGTAAAAAGGCTAAATTATTCAGATGTCTGATGATGCTGTCCTATAAAGTAAATAATCCCAGGAAAAGATTTTAAAAAAAGAAAATGCGACTTCTGTCAAAAAGTTCTGAACAATAAAGAAAACTTCTGTGGGCTCAAAGCTACTTCTTGTTCTTTTTGGTGGTTTGCTTAAGGATGTTATGTTGAAGCACTTACAGATGGAAGTATGGAAAAAATAGTGCATTGTTTATTAAGAATAGGATCAGTTCTATAATGGCATCTTATGATTGTGCCATTAGTACTTGTTGTAAGATAGATAAAAAGAAATTTTTGTTTAACCTCACACTTCATGTAACAGAAATTTTAGAGAAGTCATGTATGTTCAGCGTCTGTTTCCAAGAGCAGTTCACTGTTAAATGTTAAGTAGCTAATTAACAATAAATGCTCTCATCACAAGTCTTTGTAAACTTCTATTCAGAGAATCAATGGTGGATGCTAGAATTTAGAAGAAGGGCTTTTGCCAACTGAAATGTTTTTCATGAAACCTGTTAACTTTTATCAAAACGAAAATGTGCAGAAATTAATAGATTTTAGTAAAGGACTATGCTCAGGTTAGGGAGTGCTTCTGACAAGCCAAACCCAAATTTTGAATTGCTAGAATCCTTGAAACAGAATTGCCATTTGCTGTCCACATCTGCTGGTTATCTTTCTACAAATAAAGTTATATCCCTGTAGTATTCCAGTCATGCTGGTTAATTAAGAATAGATGAAGAGACTAGGTAGAGGCAATGTATTTGTTCAGATGTTTTTACAAATAGTTTTCAAGCTTGGAATGCAAAAGTTTTTATTTTTGGTGTGGCATGGTTAAGAGCTATATTTATGCTTTATGCTTATTTAATTGCTAGATGAAAGTTGTGCTTATTCAGCATTTTTATTAGAAAGAAACCAAACACTTTAAAGATGAAAATTATCTAACTTGTCAACAAGAAAACACAATACTGCGTACTGTCTTTACAGCCTGTTTAATTGTAAATAAAATGACAGGTGCAAACATGATCAATACAAGATACAGGCACGCAAGCAAGTTACTATAAAGTATGCTTGATTTTGAACTTGCAGACCCTAATGCCTTTTAGTTACAGTCACCAGGTTCTGACTGCTTGATGAAGGCACTAGTAAGCCAGGTAGCTTACTCTACATCATTGACAACAGTCAGCTGTCTTGAACTACCTTGTTTTTACTGCAGGGTAAGGACATGCTAAAACTTGTCTTTGTGTATTGACATCATTATTAAAGTATAGTACATATAGAATTTTATTTAAAAATACTGTTGAATAAAAAGTGCTGAAACCTTTCATCTTAATTCTGGTATTTAATTCTTGTGCATCTCGTACTTCATTGATTTCTTGCTTTCTTGTCCTTCAGCAACCTTGTAGCTTGATGTGGATGCTCTTCCTTCACACTTCTCAAGTCTAGTTTGTTATTTCTTCACACAAGTGTTGTAAAAGTGTTTTTTAAAAATAAATGCACAAAGCTTAGTTTACAGCTCTCTAAACCATTTGATCATAAGCACCATCACTTGTGTTAGAATAAAAAAAATCTTGAAGTTAAAAAGTTTGCAGGATAGTATTTTTAAAGTTCCCTTCATTTTAATGTATACTTCATAGTCTAGTGAAATCTAAACCCATGACATGCAATGTCATTGACATTATGTAAATCGTGTGTGTGTGTGTGACAAAGAGATTGACTGATTTGTTGGCCAAGCTTAATACAGTTTTGTTGGTTTTTCTGTGCAGTGTACATCAGAGATGTAAAGGACTGTCCTAAACTTAAATGGGCTGAAATATGCTGGTTTGGGAAGATACTAGAGCATTACTGAAGAGATGCTTGGGATGTTCTTATTATGTTCTGTAAGATTTCTTGATCTTGCCAAACATTTCTGTTGCTGGCATGCCAGAATGCCTTATGACGTGGTGGTCATTGCTGATAGAACTGGTGGAGGTCGGTAACAACTGTGCATGCCATTTCAGAATAATAATAAAGGCAGGCGTGCAAGAAAGCCTTTGGTAAGGGGGGCACAGAGCCAGTCATTGTGGCAGTGTTGTTGAGTGCAGAAGAAATTGTATGGGGTACTGGTGCAGAAGGTATGGGGTAAAGAAAGCATGTCTATTCTGGGGCTTGTAAAGATATGTCTAGGATCCTTCGCAAGCTTTAAAATTTGCTGTTGTGGTGTCACAGGGAGAAGGGGAGAGAGAAGATAGGAATCTTCTACAGGCAGTTTGAAATTATTTCCATGACATGTATGAAATAGGGAGGAATGACACGAGGAGTCGTGTAGGAGATAAATTAAATAGTGAGCATTACAGTGTACTGTAAGCCTGACTGACAATGCATGAAGTGTTATCTGCCTTTATCTTTCCTTAATGATGTTTTAAGACGATCTTGTGCAAGTCTGCAGTTATATGGAGGGCAAAAGGATGTGAGGGAATTGCAAGAAAGTAAATGCAATTCAGAATCATCAATATTCTTCAGTAGTTTTTTTCTTTCAGCAAAAGGATAGCAGCTGCAGGGGTGAACACATTTCTGGTAAAGTCAGAGTTAATCTGTTAACGTAGTTGGAACTGTGAGATTTTAGAATACTATCTTTTGGACTACTTGGACTTTTGTAGAAGATGAAGAAACTCCATAATAAAAGTGCTGAGTCCTGGAGGACTTAGTTCAGAAAGAGATGTTCTATCCCGCTGCTCCCCACAGAAGATTCTAGCTGTCCTTACAGTAGTGGATTTTACATAATTGAACTATTTGTGCTGCTGCGTCAGGCCAGGCACTGTAAGAGAGAAAATACTAGGCTGTAAGTCTGCTTTGTGTACACTTAATAGAGAGTTATTCAAAGGTATTGAAAGCTTATGCCAACAAACTATTCATAAGAGATTGGTGGGGGAGGGTGCTATATTTCCTTAAGAGCTATATCTAGTAGAAAATACTGTTGAGCTTGAAGTTATATACAAGATTTCATCCTTGCAAATACAAGAAGACCTTGTGTAGATCATGAAGCTGCTTATTTATTTTTGAGACTGTATATGGACAGTCCTATTTAAGCTGGATATGCTTGCCAATTTACTGCATAACTGCAAAGATTGTCATAGAAATCACTATAGGCTCAGCTAATTGAAAGTAACATTCTGCTGATAAAAATCTTTGAGACTGAAGTTTTCTTGAGGCTTTGGAAGAGCAGCAGCTGGGTCTGTGAAGGGCTTCCTTCTCTGTAGAAGTGTGTGGATATCCAGTTCTTTTTACTACAAGTTATTTATTCCACCAAAGTGGTTTGACTCTGCACCTTTGCATGGCTAAGCAGTTTTGTCCATTATAGTAGTTTTTCTGTAATATTGTTGTATTCATGGCCCATACAAGGAATGTGTTCAATGCTTATTAACTAAACAGCTGTTGTAAGCAACAATTTGGTTCGCTTTTGTAGCAACTAAAAGAACAGCTTCCCAAACCTGTCTGCAGCTTAAACCTAGGAGAAAGTCACAGAGAAGCTTCGCAGAGAGACTCTTAGTTTTGTTGTACAGCACCATTCCTGCATTTAAAACAGATTTGCAGAAAGCCACATGGCATACTGTATGGAGCAGAGGTGGCACAGATCTGAGTGCTCCTGTGTCTGCTTGGAAGCAAGTTGCCATTGCTACCTGGTGGCAAGAACCCCTTTTGCTACTAGTGATTTGGCACTGGCTGGTCTAGTAGGATTATTGTGATGGGTGTGTGTAATTATAAAGGCACACAGCCTCTGAGTTGTTAAAGAAGAAAAAAAAAAAATCTTTGATCCCTGAAGAGTTCTGTGATGGCCTCATACACTTGGGTAAAATTGACCAATCCCTACCCTGGTTATCTGTGCTTGTAAACTAATCATACTCTTAGTTTTGCTTTGGTAAATTTTACTAGTGTGGGTGATCTCCCAAATAATGTTTTCAATGTTTTTCATATTGACTAAAGAAGTGAGAGCAACCATGTCATGTTTGTTTCTCTTGTTCTGGGAGATTCTGTGTAGTCTTTACAAGTATGACTGGTGAAGTTTTTAAAGCATATTTACATTTTAGCTGAAAACTACATAGATCGGATGACAACAGGGCACACATTTGAGAGACCAAAGAGTAAATGATGATCACTATCAGAAAGAATGAGGCAGCTCTAAGCAGTGCTGCTTGTGACTTATAACTGCATAGTGTGTTTTCCAAAAGCAAGGAGGAGAGGCCTTGCTCAGGTCTGGGGAGTAGGTGTTTGAAGATTTCAGAAAAATTTGAACAACCTGCAGACATGCCTATATTACCTAGATTTAATAACAAGGTAAATGTTACGGGGATAAGTTTCCACAGCTTCTCGAAGAGACCATTGTGTTCATATGATATGCCATTCTATGTTTCTGGTTTGCTCATCTGAGTTTAAGGAGTATATATAGTAGTGTGGCAGGCTGAAATTTTTGTTGTGCTGGTTTTGCCTAATAACTTTATAAAACTTAAATGTCAGAATGAAGTCTGTCAGGTGGTTGCATCTGATGTTGGTGCAGCTTGTGGCTGCTTGTCGTGTGTTTTGTTTTCCTATTTGAATTCTCTCTACTTGTGCAATAGTGTAAATTTTGGTATAAATGCAAATCTATAAATGTAAAAATACATTCTGTTTGGTTACAATAGAGGGCAGAATGTCAAAAGTCTATTCACATTTTGTTAATTCTGGAATAACTTTTTGTACGTTCCCTCAGGTTTCTCCTTTACATGAGTTTAAAGCTTGAGCACTGTAGTATATGCGTACTGCATGAAAATCAAAATATGAAACTGGATGTTCTTTTTTATTAGTAGGGAGTAGTAGCGTCAAAAAGAAATAAAGCCTGAAGTTGATGGGACAAATTAATCAACTAGGAAATATGTTTGTAAAAACAATGATGACTTTCTTTTGTTCTCCAGAGTCTTGTTGGCAATTATGGACTATTAGTATGAGAGTCTGGTCTTTACCAAGTGATTGATTGTTTTCTTTCAGAACTGTTGTTTGCTGTAACTTTATGCTATCTCAGCATGTCTTCCTAAATGCCATTATGGCCAGTTTTCCACCTGTGCTTGTTCCTGTTTGTAACATTTACCAGTACTACCTGATATTCTGAAATTTCTTCTGATAGTAAAGTTAACATTAATTGAAACACTATAGCATAGGAAATTAAACCTTTGAGGAGTTGTAAAAAAATATTTTTAACATTTGAGATTTCATATATTCCTTTGAAATTTAATATCCATTTTTATTTTGTTGCTCTTGGTTTTAGCCTGGTTTTATTTTTTTATTTTTTTCCACAGAAATGAAATAAAAGGTAGGGACGGTGAGCACCCAGGGAAAGCAAGAACTTGTTCGTAATATTCAAGTGCGTAGAGGAGAAAGAAAAAAAAAATGTGGGGTTTTTTTTTGTTTTGGTTTGGTTTTTGGGGGGGGGGGTGTTTGAAGCAAAGTTTGTTAAGATTTAAATAATGCAGGAGAAACTGACTTGGGTTTATAACAATTTTTTTTTTTCCTCTCTTCAGGTGCGAGAAGATGTGTTAAACTCCTTGAATAACAACTTTCTACAAACACTAAACCAAGCATGGAATGATCATCAAACAGCGATGGTGATGATTAGAGACATTCTGATGTATATGGTGGGTATTCTGCTTTTTCACACATTTAACTTGGTGCAGTAAATTGTCTTTTGACAAAAGTAAACAAATGAGCTGGAGGGGTAAAAAGCAAGGCATGTTTACCGGTCTTCCTAAGACTACTGTCTGTCCCCTGTTTTGAATTTCCTGTGTGCACGCGAGACTGTTATGGGTGTGTGACCAATTGTAATTGGATTCTTCTTTCAGGTTATCTCATTATCACTTGAAAAATGCATCTGAAAAATCATTAAATTTTGCAGTTCTTAAAAAATAAGCTAGTCAGACCCATTCTGGCAGGTTATAGATGTTACTTGCATGTTTTAGTTCACATAGTGGCAGTTCTTACTGTGGAAAGCATAATAGTGTAAAGTCTCCTCAAACTTCCAATGTAGTTGTTCTTCTTTATCCTTGAAGAGGATAACTTTGCTTAGGTACAGTCTGTGTCCTTGAATGTTAAATTCTAATTGAATCCTTTGCTGTTCATATAGAGCTTGGGTACAAGATCAAGCAGAGTACTTAGATGATGATGGGATCTTGGTTGCACGGCTGTAATTTTAAAAGAAAAAAGGAAAGCATTTTTTACCTGATAGCTAACAGAAAAGACCTTTTCTGAAGAGAGAGGGCTTACATTTTTGCGTCTGGATTTTGTTATGCTTTAGGTAGTTGGTATATGTCGTGGTTTAACCCCAGCCAGCAACTAAGCACCACACAGCTGCTCACTCACTCCCCCCCGCCACCCAGTGGAATGGGGGGAGAGAATTGGCCAAAAAAAAGTAAAACTCCTGGGCTGAGATAAGAACGGTTTAATAGAACAGAAAAGAAGAAACTAATAATAACACTAATAAAATGACAACAGTAATAATAAAAGGATTGGAATATACAAATGATGCACAGTGCAATTGCTCACCACCTGCTGATGGATGCCCAGTTAGTCCCCGAGCAGCAATTACCCCCAGGCCAACTCCCCCCAGTTTATATACTGGGCATGATGTCACATGGTATGGAATACCCCTTTGGCTAGTTTGGGTCAGCTGTCCTGGCTGTGTCCCCTCCAAACTTCTTGTGCCCCTCCAGCCTTCTTGCTGGCTGGGCATGAGAAGCTGAAAAATCCTTGTCTTTAGACTAAACACTACTTAGCAACAACTGAAAACATCAGTGTGTTATCAACATTCTTCTCATATTGAACCCAAAACATAGCACTATACCAGCTGCTAGGAAGACAATCAACTCTATCCCAGCTGAAACCAGGACAGTATGTGTTTAAAATCCCAGAATGGTGGTTATGGTCTGAGGATGCAGGAGAGTGTATTTTTGCATAGCTTCTAGCCAAAGGCTTTAACTTCAGAAGGAAAAGAAATATGTGTTGAGACACTGTGGGTTTTTTATATAAAATCTTTTTTTTCCAAAATATCATACTGAAGATAGTACTTTATGCAATATTAGACAGTGAAGGACAGATAACGGTAGTGCTTATTTTGTTTTTGTCAAAAAAGATGATTAACTGAGATTGTACTCAAATATCTGCTGAACAACTGGAGTTAAGATCTTATCTTGTAGCTGTTAAAGATCTCAGGCTATGAAATTGAACGTATTTGTATTAGCTGTGAAGAAATCCTACTTGGTTAATAAGCTACTAGATGTTAAAGAATTTGGAGTAATTATTGTAGCCACATAGCTCAATTTTTTATTTTTTTTTTTAAGTTGTGAAAAGACCGCATACCTAAAGATAGAGAGCTGGATAAAATGCCTTCAGTGACACTTAATGATCCGTGTATCTTATCTTGCCAAAAGGAAGAATGGGAGATTATTCTGAAGATGTACGATCTTCACTATAAGAAATCCTGGAATCTCTTATGTTTGTGAAGGACAAATACAAATCAATTGCTGCTAGCTGCATCTGGGTAAATTCAAGTATAGTTAATGATTAGAATAAGCTACCAAAGCTAGTGGTGAATTTTCAGAAACGTTAGAAGACAGAATCCAGAGCTTTCTAGGGGAATAGCTGTTGTGTCTTGGCCAAATACTATGTATTATTTCAGTACAAGAGGTACTGGATGCTTCAATACAATGTTATCTGCTGCTCTTAAATTCAATAGATCTTTGATCCCTCAAACAGTGTCAGAGAAAGCTGGCCTCATCAGCTGTTCTTGTTTTAGTGTATTGACCAGCATATTGAGGACCAGAAGTCCCCTTTCTGAGGAAGGGTTACATGCTTCAGTTAGCGCTTCTGGGAGGAGATGAGAGCTGTTTCCTAAGTATTTTGTTGTGCTTAGGAGAGCAGTGCCTTGACTTTTGTTTGAAGCTTGCAAGTGCTGTTAGAACAGCCAGCCAGCCTTCTCTTTTCTACCAAAACTCCAGAAGGTGGAGACCTGCAGCATTCCTACAAGTGCAAATTGAACTTCATTGGCTTGGTTGTATTTTAGATTCAGAACAGAATAGTAAACAAATAAACTTGAATACCTCTGGAATATACAGTCTTTCACGTGCTGTTTGACAGTTCCTAATTATTTCAAGTGGGTGTTCAGTTGAGGCCTCCACTTGACTAATTATTTGCCTCTCATAGGCTTTTTCCCTTGTACCAAAATGAGACCTAAGAAAACAGAAAAGATGCATCTACAATAAAACATATGTATCGTATAATAGGAAAAATATAATAAATTTTTCTTTCAAAATGCTTATATAAACTTGTCAAACTTCAGGAGCACTGATGTCTTTGTTAAACATCTATAATGTATCATGGTTTTTATGATTATAAATTTAATCTTTATTAGATAGAACTGTCTAATGCAAGGAGCTAATACAATGGGTAGACTCCCTCCTTTTCTTTGACTTGTAGGGGCATAAGATGAAGTGTCATGAGAAAATACATGCTTTGATTACAAATTAAAAGTATAAGCTATGATCTAAAATGGGACTAGTCTCAAAGATTTGCAGTTTTACCTTTGTCACTGGGATGTCCTGTTAGTCAAACATAATTCTGTTCATTGGAAAAAGGTTAAGAGCAGGAAACTTCTAGTCTTGAGTATGTATTCATTCAAAAAGCTTGAAAAAGCTGCTAGTACCAAAAAATTACAAAGCAGAGGAATATCTGTCAAAGATGAGACCTGACTGCTCTTCAAAGAAACAATTTTCAAGAACTTTATAAAATAAGGAATGATTTGTTCTTTTATGATGTTGAGTCTGAATGAAATGTAGTTTTATAATGATATGCTTATATCAGAAGTTGTTTATACCTTTTTATTCAAGCACAGCTAATATAATTTACATAAAAAATACTTCACCTTAAAAAAAACCCCCCAAAAACCCACTGTATAAACTCAGTCACCAGGCATTGTTAATTGATATGCTTGTGTTCCACCAGGAGTATATGCAATTTTAATATGTCTATAAATAAAGGATAACCCAGCCCTCCTCCTCTTGTTTTGTAGGTTGTCCCAATTACTTACCCATCAGTTTCAGGAAGTGTGTCTATTGGTAACCAACAAGCCACAGTCTGACATCAGTGAAAGTAAAACAGTTAATATCCTCTTGAATTCTGATCTTACTTTCTTAAATTCTTGCTTCAGCCTAGTGATTGTACCTCTTAAACTAAGCTGTATCTGTTTTAATACCATGTTTGTTTTCCAGCTTATTTTCACCCATTGTCTCCCATATGATCTAAGTCAAAACAAACCTCTCCAACCCACCTTAATCTCTTTCCTCTGTTTAATTTTGCCACTTCTAAAATAAAAAATAATTCAAGTAGATCTTTTTTAGAAAGGTATATGTTTTGTACAATGGGGTTTGTGCATTGTTATGATACTTAGTGACTAGAATACTTGCCATTTGAGGTTTACGGCAGGATTTCATTTTACGTGCAGAACCTCTTCCACAAGACACTTGTAAAGCTTGCCTTCTAGTTGCATTTTAAAAAAAAGTCTCACGTCTCTTATGTTGTGGTTGCTGCCTGGTAGAAGTCTGCTTGGTTTCAGGTCTGTTCTATAATGTAGTTCTAGTGTGAGATTTTGCAACCTGGAATTGCACAATAAAGGCAAATCTAAATTTCTTGAGATATTCCAGTTTCATAGTTGAATTTCAAGTTTACGTAGTTCCACTGTATTTTATAATATATGTGCACTAGCTCTCCTCCTTTTATTTTACGTGTTTAGGCAACAGTAATCAGTGCCAGAAGAGACGTAATAATCTCTGTAAATTCATGGTACTGTCTGCAGCAAGCGGTGGGGTACCAAAGCAGTGAAGTCCTGTCCTAAGTAGTATCTTCACTAAGTCAAGTAATGTACTAAGACATGTTGAAGTAATGTACTGCAGTTGGGCATATCTGAAATTTAGTCTCACTTACGGCTGCAGTGTAGGTAAGCATACCTACAATAGGTTTTATTTAGCTACTGTATGTAACAGTAGTAGTGGAGGTGGAGTTCTTTGGTTCTTCTCTTCAAGCTACATGACCGTGCGTATTCTCGGAATGTCTTACGGAAACTGGGCTAAACTTGATTCTGTGGTGTCCTTTCTTTACTACTTGTACTTGCTAAATTTAAAGCAATTTCAGGTATGCAAACACAGCAGTCACACCCCTGGCTGCATTATGGGCATATGGGTAGTGCTAGTTAAGCACTGTCAGAAGTGAACAATTACTCTTGCGAATACAGCTGTGTATTTCACAGAGGGCAGAGCGTTCCCTTCTCATCTGTGCGGTGCACAAAGCCAGTGTCTTGATTTAGGCCAGCACTGACAGATCAGCTATGTGAGTTTTGACCTTGAGGCATATGACTGTCGTTGTTCATGGCTTGCGCACAAGGTAATAGGGAGAAGTGTTGTTTTTATTTTCAGAACTAGGATCAAAGACACTTGCTATACATATATATATATGCACAACAGTGTCTGAAGGCTACATCATCCAGGTAGTGCATCCATGCAGAGATGGTGCAAAATGTGGCTGGGGATATCTTACAGTAGGTAACTTGCTTTAGTTGAGATCAGAATTATTCTGCAGTGTAAGCAGCATTGTAATTTATGAATAATTGCTGTCTGAAACTCCACCCTTGTCTCCTGAGAGTTACTCTTACCTTTAAGCACCTGCTGCTTCTCCCTGTGGGAAGTGATTGCTGTTCAGTAGCATATAGCCTTGTCAGTCAAACCTGTTCCCAAATGGGGCTTCCTGTCTCTAAGATTACTTTTTTTTAGGTTTGGGAGAGCTTCCAGTAAACAGTAAAAGTGATCTGTTACCAAGGGTAAGCAAATCAGCAGTATCAGAAATGTTAATGCTGCTACTGTAATTTGGGCATTGTGGAGTGGTCTGGCTTACTAAAGAGGCATTGCTATTGCATTAAGAAGAGTTTCTAGTGCAGTTACTATTTCATTTCATAATGGCAGTGTTTAGCACTGCCACAACATAACATATGCAGATGAGTCATGGCCATGGCTTTAATCCATTTTGATACCCTGCTGCCTGTGCTTCAGAGGCCTGAATATTATTTGGAAATAATATATATGTTCTTTTCTCCTCAAGTTATATAGTATATTAGACACTATTTTTTTTAATTTCGTCTTTCATCTCTTTGAAAATGTATTTTAAGTTTGCCTTACTTTAGAATCACATTTATTTCTGTCCTTGATGCAAGTGTCTAAATAAGGGAGTGAAATAAATAACCCTATCTTTAAATAACGGAAAAAAAATAGAGTAACACATTCCAAAGACCTAGATCAACATGTGTCGCTAAACTGACTTCATGAGCCCAATTAGTAAACTTTTTTCTTTGAGACAGAACTGAGCTCACTTCATGGGCCACAGAGTAGGCGTATCTGACCTGTTCCCATCTTGTTTTTTCATTTAAATTAAGTGCTGCCTGTCTGAAGGGAGTGAGTGGGAAATCACTTGTGAATTGTGGAATCTGGTGTTTTACTTTCCTCTGGTCATCAAGTGGCAATCTGGCATATAATTAGCATACAAGTAATTTGCCAGAAGTCCTTATGTACAATTTTGCAGTAGCAATCCATAAATATTTTGATTGTAACTATTCTCATTTTGGCTTTACTTTTTCTTCTGTTCATGTAATGATGCTATTTTAAGGAAATTTCACTGAATATTGAGGGGGAACTGTCTGCCTAAAAGGAGTGGTAGGAGGATGCATGGGAGATGGGGAAAAATTAATTAATTTTTCTTAACGAACAAAGAGGGGTAGATGGAAGGGGTTTGAGTAGGTAAGTAAAACATCTTTCAGATCGTGCCATGAATTTTGTCACTATTTGGAGATTCTCCTGCCCCCAACTAAGTGGCAAGGCTGTAGATTTGTTCTGGCATGCTTTATTCATAAATGCTATGCTTCCACTCTTAAGCAAAGTAGAGTTGCTGTGTAAAGAAAGTTTTGGAAGATGGGACTGGTTTTGAGGGTACTTACGATCTCCTTTTATGAAGAAAGGAGAGAAGATTAATTTGATTATTTCTGCACAGTGGAAATATGACCAATCTCTTGCAATTTTGAATAGCATGTGTGTACTGAATTTAAAATTTTATTGCTGTGTATGCCTTCATTGCAGGACCGTGTGTATGTGCAACAAAATAATGTGGAGAATGTCTACAATTTGGGCTTGATTATTTTTCGAGATCAAGTTGTACGCTATGGCTGTATTAGGGATCACCTGCGGCAAACTCTGCTGGATATGATTGCAAGAGAAAGGAAAGGAGAAGTTGTAGACAGGTAAGATGTTTGTAAGTGACTGCATTTTGTTGTAAATAACGCATGTCAATTTTTAAGAGTGAAGCAAGAACGTACACAAATAAATCATTACTTAAGGCTGTGTTCCTGATCACAAGATAAATTTCTTCATAATCCGGGATAACATATTTCTTTGTATACTAAGGTTTAGCATAATGGTAAATGGGGAAGCTTGTTAATATATATTTTAATATTTATCTTGTGGTTTTTATTAAAACATCTGTTAAATCTCTCCATTACCTCCTTATGCCAGAGCATTTGGTTATAAAACAGTTTTGACAATTCTCTGCCTCCTGCTACCCTGTATTTCCTCTGTACTGAGAGATTGTTTCATTTTCTTGTACTTCTTGATTTTTTTTTTCATTATTGTTGAAGCTTTCTTTTTTAATTCGATTCCCCTTCCTCATGTTTTGATTAATCTGTTTCTTTGTAGTTTAGTTGCATCTCTGAGCTTTTGAATCTGTTCCTCCTGTTCTTTGACGAGTTCAGTAGATGTGGAGTTTTGTGCCACACTTTGCAGATACTGCAGCTGAAGTAACTTCAAATTTGCAAGTTTTCTTGGGCTTCTCCAGTTTCAGAGCAGCTGTTGGGTGTGGAGATATGTAAGTTCCATGCTGCTTTGGCTGCAGTTCTGTGACTGAGATTGCCCAACATGCAATTTATGAAGAGAAAAATACTCACTGGCAACAGCTGTGTGTATTGTCCCCTACTGCCAGAAAGTGGAATTTTTTCCTGGATGCAGTTCTTTCGTTTTCACATTTTATTGATGTGTTTCTATGCCTAACCAAATGCTGAACTTGCTGATAGATTTTAATTTTGTGGTTTTTTTTCTTTTGTTTTTGGTTTTTTTTTAAAAAAAAAAACAACCAACCAAAAACCCCAAACTTTGCACAGCAACTTCGATCTGTGCAATTGTTTTGAATTGCTCAATTCCAACCTACCTGTGCAGTTTCCTTTGAAGTGGTATTTTTGGTTATTTTCTTGTATGTTGAAATATATTTTTAATAGTTTTCTGAGTTAGTAGAACTTGAGACCTGCTTCCCTATCACTGTATTTAAAATATTTAATAAGCATTGTCAGTTCCTCAGTTTAGAACAAAAACAAACAATCTTGCTCCTGTAGTCTTGAAAACCTGTCGTGTACCAAACAGATTTAGGATGGACTTTCTATTACTATATTTTATTTAAGCTGATACCATGTTCTGAGTTGTTATTCTGCTGTGTACTCTGTCTTACAAGCATGTAGATTTCTCAAGTTGTTAACAAACTTACTTTTTGGCAGAGGCGCAATAAGAAATGCTTGCCAGATGTTAATGATTCTAGGTCTTGAAGGAAGGTCAGTCTATGAAGAAGACTTTGAGGCTCCGTTTTTGGAGATGTCTGCAGAATTTTTTCAGGTACAGCAATGTTGTCATATCATATTTGGAACGTTGTTATAACTGCTTGGAATTGTGAGAATTGGTGGTACTTTAAGTAATTGCTGCTTATTTGATGAGTGTGTCCACCTCCGTTAAATAAGAAAAGAAATCACTAACTTTGTGGGAAAGGTAACACAAATTTTACAGCATTACCATAATTTGAATGTAGTTTTGAGCTATGGGTGCCAATAACATGTAAAGTAATCATCATGCTAATCTTGTGCCTGCTTTGGGCTATTTCATGCAACTTAGTCTATCCTTGCATTGCAGTCACAGTCTTTTTGAAATACCAGTTCTAAAGGTTCAGACTGTTTCAGGCTGGGAATGGAGAGGGGAGACTACCTGTCAAACTGCTTTTGAGGAAGCTTTGTTTCCTTCATAGTTTCTACATTTGTGAGGGGTTTTTTGTAATAAAATGAACCGAGTCAAGGAATTAAGTGCATCCAAGTGGCTATCCAGTTGTTGGCCAGCCACTGAATAACATATTTTAAATATTTCCTGAGTTTTTTTCTGATATTAGTTTCAGGAAAAAAGCCAGTTGAATGGTTGTTGAGTGTAATCATGCTCATCTATTGTTGGAAATTGACAGAAATTGTAAAAGCATGTTAAAAGATATCTAGATAACATAATTTGTCAGTCTCCCAATTCTTACGCAGTATCGACTATCTGTCATATCCTCTGATCTCCAAACTTCTTTGAAACTCAGAAGCATATGTTGCACAACCATTTAAAAGTAATTGTATTCTGTTTTTCATTGGTGCTACATAAAATTAAGAAAAATAATTACTTTCATTTCAGTTTTATTTCTTAGCTCCACCATAAAAAAAAAAAAAAAATCTTTCTTCCAAAAGACTATGCTGACCACTATGGATAAAAGCACTTTGACATGAATAATGTGCTCAGCATTGTCACAAATCAGAATAGTGAAAACTGTTGATCCTCACAACTCATAAATATGCCATAAACTGATATTTGAAAGGAATTTTTGCCTCTTCCCTCTCCCCATCCTTCTGTTTTCTTTGGACCTGTGGCTGAAACTCTAGTTGGTGACTGGAAACTAGGTTGGCTTAGGTTGTTTTAGTATGAAAAATACCATGTTCATATTGCATGTACCCCCTTATGTATGTAACACAATTGGTGTTATAGAACCTTTATTTTGTATTAAGCATGTATGTAAATAGTGGGGGTATAATGATCTCATTTGTTGGACATGCTGGGTTTGATTTGAACTTGCGTATAAATCCTGATCTGAAATAACTCGTACGTTTCCTTTTTCCCCTTGAAAAAAAGCTCTAAAGTACTAATTTGTGTTAATCACAGATGGAAAGTCAGAAATTTTTAGCTGAAAACAGTGCTTCTGTATATATAAAGAAAGTAGAAGCTAGAATTAATGAAGAAATAGAACGGGTGATGCATTGTCTGGATAAATCAACAGAAGAACCAATTGTGAAAGTTGTTGAGAGGGAGCTTATTTCCAAGCATATGAAAACTATAGTGGAAATGGAGAACTCTGGGCTAGTTCATATGCTGAAAAATGGGAAGACAGAAGGTAAGACTGCATCATATGGGAGACAGAAATGCTTACAGTACTGCTTATTGTTTTTAAACATAGGATAAGTCAAGCTTAATGTTTGTGTTGCTGTGTAATTGTAAAAACACTTCGGTGGCTCTGTTTTGCAAACATCTGAGAATATTACTTCAGAGACTTTCAGAGGGCTCTTAAAACAGAGCCCATACATATAACTCGTGTCTATTTAGTACCAGATAAAAGTACTTTTTTGGTAAGCCCAGTATCTCTTAAGAAAAGTACAAATCTATTGTAGTGGTCTTTGTTACCTGTTTTCCATAAGCCATTTTATTACTTTCATTCCTCTAGTATGTACCTGTCAAAATGCATCGAAGTTTTTTGGTCCACAGGCAGTTGTTTAAAAAGTGCTAGTGTAAATTACTTAATAGAAGTATTGCAGGACCAATTCTTCGGGAGAGGGCTTTGTTGCAGAAGAAAGTTGGCTCCTTCTAAAGGATACGAAGCAGCTTATTGCAGTAGTTGAAAAAGAAGGGCTTGGCTTGATTTGGGTTCCCTAATAGAGGTTAATGTAGGACAGAATGACTGTGTGAAATTTACTATGGAAAGAAATAGAACATAAGTTTCTAAAGCAGCATAATGAAGAGAGTGATTGTAGTATCTATATTTAGAAATCAATGCTCACACTAAAGCTGTGAGATTGGGGAACAGACTTGCTGCTTAGATTAATGGCCTTTGTTCGTTAAAGCAGCTTCGCAGTTACTAGGTGATAGTCAGAGTGACAAAGTGAACAAATTTCTTAGCTGGAAGAAAAGAGAATTACTGTGTTGAATAGGAAAGTGATGATACTATACTTAACATTTTTTCTTTAATATCCAGTTAAGATAGCCTTCAGGCTGAGGGTACAAGGATATTGAAGGGTATTCATAAGATACAGGAATTAGTTTAACTTTTATGAGCCTTGGTTTGATTTAGTTAAACACTAGAGAGGAAATACTTGCTGCATTGTGAAGATAAGATTTCACATAAATGTGCAAGGATCGATTGCTTTTTTGGAAAGCCATGTTTAACCTAAGCCACTTATCATGATTTTAGATGGATGAAACAAAGTAATGTAAAATTATATGGCTGACTTTAAGACAAATATGAATTAAACTCCAATTTTTACATTTTTTTGCTTTTAATACAGAGACAAGCATCTCATTAGTGTTGTCCTATTTGCTTTAACTTAGACTTTTCTTATAACTTTTAATACAGTATTTGATTTTGGGGATGATAATCTTGGAAGCTACATTCTTAAATACCACTTGAAAATATAATCTTACTGAAGCTTTAAATGCACTATCCTTCAGCACAAGCAACAACTTTTGCTGGCGTAGGAATCAGCAAGTGGCTGAACTTTTACTGTTGTCTTTTGCTATGAGATGAATGAGTTACAGAAGTATAACAGACAGAGGGTGTCCTGCATAATACCTCATTCTGCTTCCAGACCTTGCTTGCATGTACAAGTTGTTTAGCCGTGTGCCAAATGGTCTGAAGACAATGTGTGAGTGCATGAGCTCATACCTGAGAGAGCAAGGCAAAGCACTAGTTTCTGAAGAGGGAGAAGGAAAGAATCCGGTTGACTACATTCAGGTAGTTAAATATTTTAACTTTCTTTTCTTCCATCTTTCCCACGTTCCCCAGAGTAGCAGTTAACTACATGATTGAAAAGGTAAACCTTAATATTGATTCAAGCTACCTTTATAATTTTGTTTAAAATATACATTTTCTGAATTTTCAGACATTTTTAGAACTCTTCTTCTAAGTTGCTTGGAAAGTACGTGCTCAGTTTTTGTTCTTTTGGTAGCTGCTTTTATTCAGCAACATATTGAGGCTAATTATCTAACTGCTGGGAACTTTTTGGATTATCCTAAATGATATTTGCCTCCAGAGTGAGTTGCATGTCTGCTGGCAAATAGCTTTATAGCGTCTGTTTTGTTGAATTTTATGTAATGTTAGTTATCAATGTTTATTGAGACAAAAATCACATGACAGTATTTCATGGCAAGATTAACTATGACTGAGAGGTGAATGTGTTATAAATTATAACAAATTACTTGCTTCATTCTCCGTCTCCCTGAGAAACAGAACACTTCTGCATGTTAAAAGACATAAGTGTTCTTTCTTGTTCTCCATCTCTCTCTAAGAAGTGATGTATACCATTAATTTATCAAGGTCACAAAATATGCTTCAGGAGTGTTTGTCATCTTTTCTCTCCCATTGTCTCTGAGAAGATGGTTTTAAATTTACACGTAAAATCTTTAGACTTCATTGAACTTTAAGGAAATGTTTTTATAGCTGGAAGATGTTTTATACTTAATGTGAAAATGTGTATTCATTAAACATTAAGTTTGGGCGGGGGTTTAAATGTGTAGTTGAAGTCCTTGTGTCTGGTCTTTAGGAGAAACTTTTAATGCTGTATGTCTATTATCTCTGCTGTTTTGTTTGAAATCAGTAACTTTGCTAGAACTGGTTACTATTAGAAGAAGCCATTTGAGTATAAAAACATTTTTGATTGGATTATTAATTTTCTGGCAATGCTGAAGCAAACTTCTTACCAAGCTTGAACAAGAATCGCCTCTCCAAGGACTGTTAAAAAGAAGAGAGAATGCCCTTTGAAATTTCTTAGGTTTAATGATTAAGGGCTGTTATGTTTTTTTGTGGTGGTATGATTTTTAAAAAAAAAAAAACAAACATGGAAAATAAGTGTCTGGAATACTTTGAAGTAATTTTCACTCCTTTTAAATCCTGATGGACCTAAAGGGGTATCATTAAAAATTTAACTGAGAAATAGTTAAAAACTTAATTGTGAAGATGCTATCAATGTTTCTTGCTACAAAGATGAATAGTGTAATGAAGCTGAAGAAGACTTACACTGCATGTCTTTTGGCAGACTTCATCCTCTCAGCCCATTAGTATGTACCCCAACCATCTCATGAAGATGTCCTAGGGAAGGGATTGATACTTGATTACTACTAAACCCCCAAATAGATTTATCTTCCACTTCCATTGACACAATGGAAAAAGAGAAAAATACCTGTGAACTGAGGAACCACCTCACTCTTCTCATCTCAGCCTTGTTCATCTGAATCTTTCAAGGACTTAAAGAGCAATAAGAAGACAGACAAGGAAGCTACATCATACCACCAAGAAAAAAAATTCATCATAGGCCAGCACTGCTTCTGAAACACGACATCACCAAACCCTGAGTGTAATTGGCGAGATGATTGCAAAAGCATTGCCAGGGGATTGGATTTAAAACTTCTTAAAATAATTTGAAAGGATGTTGAAATGCTGTTGTAATTTAAGGTACTAACAGTTTCTCCTGTTCAACACCAGGTTGTTCAGATGGTGTGTACTCCTGGAGAGGAGACATAAGCTAACCTTGGTAAACAGAGAGATAGTGGGATTTACTTTGAATTTAAAATTTCTAATACGCATTAATTAGCCTGTCTAAAGACCATTCCTTTAAGTGAGATGGTGAGTTCTTAAGAAACATTACTACTACTTTGAGTAATTCTTGAATGGCTTCTTTAAGTAACCACATATAAATAATTTCTTAAGAAACCAAGGACTTTAAGATCATTTAACCTGAACAGTTTTTATGGCCAGTCGTTATCCATGTTAAATTTAACTCTCAAGTGACGTTTTCTCTGCTGCCCCCCCGCCCCCAAGTGCTGTCTTAGTTATGTCTAAACCCTGTGCGTATCATAAATACTTAGCAAGGTAATCAGGTGATTTTAAGATGCTCTCCCCTCCTGCATTCAGTTGTTTTAACTCTGGGTGAAGATGGTGCAAACCTTAAAAATGATGTTAAGAATCTGATGATTTAGCTCAGACGAAGTGGTTCAGTTCAGGCCTGTGATCTTCACACTGTGATAACTGGAGAGCTACTGCTTGTATCCAACTTTCATATGTTTGCAGTGACTCTTAAAGATAGCTAGAAACATGCAACTAAATAATGCAGAACGTGTCCCTGGATTGAAATTAGAGGGGGAAAAAAACCTAACAAGATTAGGCCTGTTGTTGCAGTGTGTTTTCTCCTCAAACTTGTTTAGTAGCTCTAGGGATGCAGTTAATGGGTGCTTAGCCTCATCTTTCCCATATCCTGTATTTATAGTAGTGACTTTGTCAATGTTATTTGAAATGGAAAAGGCTTAAGTACAACAAATACCTCCTTTAAGCTGTGGATTTAAAAATACAGTAAATTAGCCTGTTTAACAAAGGTGATTAAAAAAACTTTCTTAATCTTCGAGTAGCCTATTACAGCAAACTGCACCAGTATTTGACACCAATATTTTAGCCAGTTTATCTGTAAATTGCTTCTGTAAGAGTTCTATGGCAGCTATACATATTTGAAAAAGGAAATGAAATTTCAGATACTTTCTAAGAATGCCAAATTCAGAGAGTGCTTTGCAGAATCTCTGACTATAGATGTGGTCTTCTCTATGACTTCATCTGTTGTTACTGTTTTACAGCTTACAACTTCAAATCAGTGAAAATGTTTTTGCTTTTTTTAAAAGGGTTTGCTGGATTTGAAGAGTAGGTTTGACCGTTTTCTTCAAGAATCTTTCAATAATGATCGACTCTTCAAGCAGACTATTGCGGGTGACTTTGAGTACTTCCTCAACCTCAACTCTAGGTCTCCAGAGTACCTCTCATTATTTATTGATGATAAGCTGAAAAAGGGAGTCAAGGGAGTAAGTATAAACTAAATGAAAAGGTCATGTTCTTTGCTGTAAAAACCTGGATGAAATTAAACTAAGCTACTTTTCTGAGAATTATTTTTATCTTAAGATAAATGGCAATACTGCCTTAAAAAAAAAAGAAGTATATATAACACATCTGAGCTCATAACACTTTAGATATAAATTTAGAGAAATATAAGGCACAAGGAGATCAAGATGTTGTGTGGCTTGTCCCCCATCTCTGAAGCAGTATACCTGGATTACTTCTGGCAGATACCCCCTCAAAAAAATTAGGTTGTAGTAGATTCTGCAGCTCCCTTCTCTTGAAACCTTAAATATCAGCTCCTTAAATATATTTATAGTTTGGCAGTTATTCTCAATATCCAATAATTTCTTTTGAAAATTAACTCACTTGGGTAGGCTAAACAGTTTGTCTTTGCCTCTTATTAATACTGCTTTTACATATCAGAGGACTATTACCATATCTGTCTCTTCTAGCTTAAGTACAGCTGTTTCTTCAGTCTTACCTCATAGCTTCTTTTATGAAATTTTTTGAGGTACAGCACCCGGAACTGGACAGGATGGTTCAGCTGAGGTTTCAGTGGCTCTGAATAAAGCTGAATATTATTGCATGCATCTTATACTTTGAAAATTGAATAGTAAATTCTATTTATTTATAAAATAAGTAATCATTTCACTTGTTGTGACACTAGACAGGCTTTGCAAAACAAGTCTTAACATTTTTAAAAGCTTTCATTCCAAGCTAACATTTCATACTTCTAATACTGGTTTCCATCTATGCTTTTTTTTTTTTAATACTTAAAAACTTATCCAGGAACTTTCACTATATTTATCCAGGCATTCTACCCATCCATTGTCTCCTGTCTCCCTCATGATTGCTTTTCCTTCCATTTTAGATCTGTTTCTTTCTCTGCTCTATTAAGTTTGTGCGCTGTTCATTTGGCTCTATCATTCACATGTTGGACCGGTTTTGTTGGCTTCTTTAAAGGCTACTGTTAGACCATATGCTTGCTGTGAAATAGTTTTAAGTATTTAGGTTGTATAAGACACTTGTGCTGGAAGGTTAAAACCAGTAAATTATTTCTTTTACAGCTAACAGAGCAAGAAGTAGAAACTATATTGGATAAGGCAATGGTTTTATTTAGGTTTATGCAAGAGAAGGATGTTTTTGAACGCTATTACAAGCAGCACTTGGCCAGAAGACTTCTCACAAACAAGAGTGTTTCAGATGACTCTGAGAAAAATATGATCTCTAAATTAAAGGTAAGACAGTATCTGCATACTTTTTTTTTTCCATAAATATGGTTTCTTCTGTTTTTATGTAAGGGATGTATAGATAACATACATCTTGATCGCTGTTAAATACAGATTTGATTTTAAATCCCCAACAGAAAATATGAAAGGCTTTTTTGAATAATTTCTTGGAAATAAAAGGAAGGAAATACTGGAAAGCACCTACGATGAGAGAGTGATCTAGAAAACAAAAGAATTTTTTTGAAAATTTGTTAAGATTTTGCAAATAAGAGGACAACTCCTGTTATCTAGTGACTGGATTTGAAGACAAGACTGTGTTTTATCCTACATTTTCTGTTATTCACAGTAGAATTTTTTTATTGCATGCATTGTTGTTCTTTAGTTGCCTCCATCTGCAGACTGGTGATAATGTTCAACTCCTTTTTTTGATTAAGTGGTTGAGATAGATTGAAAAAAAAGGTCTTCGTATCAGTGTCTGGAAACACGTTTTCCTAGTTGGTTCATTTTACTGATTAAATAGGCCAAGAGATGGAGAAGAAAGGTGAACAGTCCTTGAAGCAAGTTCTTATGCAGCTTCTTCCTCAGTGGCATGATAAATGGCTAGGGAACTTCCAAACCAGAGTGGTTTGATCCTAAGATCAAACTTTACTGATCCTCATTTTTGACCTTTGTATTCTATGAGTGAAGCCTGTTTGCATCAGATTTCTTCAACCTATGTGTATTAATTACCTCTCCACTTCTCTAGCCTAGTGATTTAGAAGGCACGGGGCATACATTTGCAAGATGAATCAGTGGACTGGAACTGCCCTCTTTTCTTACAGATTTGCACAGTGATTAAGATGCTGAAGCTAACATGCTTGCCTTTACCATATGTGTCAAAGTACATGTTAGAAATAGGCACAAAGTCCTGTATGTGCAACTGAAATGCATGTGTTTGTGCCCATGTATCTAGATATGCATATGTCCCTGATTCTCAAAAGGTCTGTTAATCTTGCTTGGTAATCTGCAGCAAGTGTTTAAAATTACGTACTCTTAGGACAACAAGATTTTTTTTCTGATACAAGTAAAGTTTATTTCCCTTTACAGTATCATGCTAAAAAGCAGGTGAAAGTGTATGCCTTGGTCTCATAAGCTTTCATAGATTTTTAAGATGAGTTAAGAAGCTAAACAGAAATCAGAAATACAATAATGGAGAAAAGAGAAGGAAAGTGAGTTTTGATATGTGTAGTGTTAGATCCTTATATGAAATATGAAACTTTTCTAAGTTCTGAAGATAATGCAAGTGGGAATCCCAGGAATCAGATGTAAAGAAATATCATTTTTATGAGATTTATAAACTAACTCTTAGTCTTGCAGCTCACGTATCAGAGGCTCTGTTTTCGTAGCGCTGGCACAACAAGTTATTTTGTGTGTTTTTAGACTGAATGTGGATGTCAGTTCACGTCTAAACTGGAAGGAATGTTCAGGGACATGAGCATCTCAAACACAACGATGGATGAGTTCAGGCAGCATCTTCAGGCGACCGGGGTAAGAGCGTTGGGGGACTGTGTGCTTGTCCTTTTACTTCAGTACAAACCCTAGACCTTTATCAAGGCTCGTGGTTTTTGATTTGTTAGAATATGCACGTGGAAAGAAGGATTTTGTTAGCATGCTAAAATTATATTACTTTTATTGTGTTTCCTATCTTACAAGCTTTGGTAGTATTTCCCGAAATACAAAAGTCAGTTCGAAGCTTGATCCACAGCTTGAGTAGTGCCAGTTTCGTTCCATAAAATCCTGTTCCAACTTCTACTGTACCCGCATTCTTCTGAAAGGGCTCAGGCTCGCTGCCGAGCGGCTCTTCCTGCTTGCGGCCGGCAGGGGGCGGGCGGCCGCCGCTGTGCCCTCCCCGGCTGTGCCCCCCGCCCAGCTGTGCCCAGCTGTGCCTGCTGCCCCTGCCCCGCCACCCCGCCCAGCTGTGCCCAGCTGTGCCTGCCTCCCCTGCCCCGGCCACCCTGCCCAGCTGTGCCCGCCCCCCTCCCGCCAAGCCCAGCTTGGCTCCTGGGGCCGGTGGCCCACTCTCGTGTGCATTTCCAAAACGCCATGTCACCAGCAAAGTCTTCCCTTCTCATTCTTTAAAAGGAATCTTCACTGTGACCTGTATTTTATGCTAACAGCAAGAAAAATATTGCATACTGCAGGTATTTGAGAAACATACCATCTCATGTTTAACTTCTCAGACACAGTTAATGCCTTTACTAAAAGCAGAACTGCCATTTTATTCAAATTGCCAAATGTGGACTTAATTGTTCTATCAGGAAGTGTTACACCTTGTTGTAAAAGTGGACCTCTGGAATATTGCATAATGGAGAGATCACTTGTATTTCGAGATATCAGTTTGATTGCTCTAAACACTTTTTTTCCTATACTAATACTCAGTAGCACTTAATAATGTATAATAAAGAACCAGATAGTTCCCTGTCTGCAGGTAAGTAAGTCTGTATATCAAGCATGTTTGAATCAGTTTCAGAGATCTGAATGCCAGGAATATGTTTGTGGATTTACTGTGTCCATTGTCCCTGGTTGTGCAAGGTGATCTGAATGAAGTCTTTGCTGTCTTGAAGCAGTGAGCTGAAATCTTCCTCATCATCATACTGTGATTCATCATGAGTGAAAGAACGGGATGTTCTCAAAGTGGTTTCAGAACAAGTTGTAGAGGATATGGATAGATATAAAGGTGTTTGTGGACAGGCAGCTTTACTACTGCTTTTTTTTTTTCTTTAGAGGCTAATCATGTTTTCCTTCTAAAATGCTTGAAATACTGACTTAAAGAAAAATTTGTTAGAGCGCTCCCATTTTTTAGGTATCATGTGGGACTTGTACATGGGGGAGGGCCTGTGTTAAAGATTCATGTAGTTTACACGACAGTTTTAAATTAAGTGAGTTAATAAATGATGTCTATCTTCTTTTTAGCTATGTGCAGCTAGTAAGTTGAATTTAAAATGTTAACAGGTATTCTGTTAGGCCTTATTTGAAACTTCATCTTTCTCTTGGCAAGGGACCAGTAGTTTGCCTGATGGTTGCCTTTTGGTCACCCTAATCATGGCCTTCTAATGAAATTTCTGGAGTACATATTTATGATAGGAATGTATATGTTTCTACTGGTGCCAATAATATTGGAGAGGAAATACAGACAGGAAGACTTCTGGGGTTTTGTGTTACTGTTAACTTGCTGGTGATGCTGCGTTTTATATGAAATAGTCCATTCTATGCCTTTTTAAACAATTTGTGTACCTTGAATACATATAATGCCTCCTAGAAGAGTGAGGCATCTGTTCTTCTCTAAATAATCCTACCTGCAAAGTCTCCTGCTGGATCCTGTATCCTGAGATACAGGTAGTGCCAAGGATTGTGTAGATGATTGGTTTGCTATCAGTAAGTGGAAAGCTCAGCGCTAGGGAAAGTCCAAGCTAATAGATAATGAGTAATTTCTACAACTGTGATCCTGAAACTTTGTTGGAGTTTGTAAAGATTGGATCACTTCAAGGCACTTTCCGTTAGTTTATACCATTTTATGCTGAAAAGACATTTGTAAAATAAAGTGCTTCCAAAACTTTTTCAAGTCACAAACTGCTCAGTGTTCTGTATAATGTGTGTTGTCACGCATTCTAAATAAATGGTCTGTTCTGGTCTGGCTAAGACCAAAAAAATTTGGGAAACAGTTGCCATCTGAACTAAGATGTTTCAGTTCCAGATAAAGATACTTTCTGTACCTTTTCGTCTGCATTGATGGCCCTTCCGTACACTTTGGCTGGAGGGAGAAAACTTTTGAATTAGGTGATTCACAGATTAACTAGTTTTCTGTGTCTGAATGGCTGTTTGAATTTCTCTTGTGAGCCTTATGACATTGGTGATATGAAATTAGAAACACGGCAGTAATGTTGGTTACTGAACAACCTTTATATGGGTCTTTAAATACTTTTGCAAATTGTTCCTCTTAAACCTTAATGAAATTCAGTCAAAGGGATTTCTGTATGAGTAGCCTGTCACCAGTCTGTCTAGATTTTTCAGAAGTTTCCTAGGTACAAGTTTGTTGATGCACGCAGGCATTCAACACACACAATACAAAAACTCTTCCATAGTGCATGGAAATGCTATTCTGCTACTTAATGGTGGAATTTTCTGAGTTTATATGACAGTTTTTGACCTTCTAAAATATAATGTGCTCGATTTCTGTGTAGTAGGTTTGTAACGAGCTGGATACGGTATGCTTTGTTTTTTCTTGTCAATAATGTCCATAATCTTTTCCAATAATCTTTGAAGGTATTAGTTATACCTCCTAGAGCTGAAAGCAGTCAGTTTTACATTGAATAATATTCACATAATCCTAGTGAGGATTATGCCTTATGGGTAGCCAGATGTTTATCACCTACTAACACAACTACTTTATAGATCAGCACTTCAGTTGTAGAATGCTTCCTAACCAGTGCTGAATATTTATAGTAATGGCTGTCTTTAGGGAAAGTGGCTAGGTTGTGTGTGTAAAAGTGAGTAACTGTTTACATTGCAGTCCAGAATGTAAGGAAAAGGACTCCCAATGGTTTAATATTAGATATTCAGTATTTACTCTCTGCTTCCAGAGAGTAAATTTATAAAGTTATTTTGAAACTGATATGTTCAGCAAAAACTGGATTTACTGTATGTCGTCAAAAACCTGTTTAGAAAGAATTGTTACATGTATTATGACTTCTGTTTATGATCACAGCCATTTCATTGTTGGTTAAGAATTTATTTTGTTAAATTTTGTACACTCTTAAACGCCAGAGGGGAAAAATGTAGAGGATTTTTGCTGTACGATCTACTCTGATAGTGATGAATTCATTTGTCTGGCTTTGTAAAAAATAAAGTTCATAGATACATTTCTATTTTTTTTTCTTAATCTGTGAAAATTCTGTACTTTCTACACTGATACAGAAAAATGGTAAAACATGGTCTTGTTTTAAAATAGTGGATGTTTTCTTCCAATTGTCCTTAGGTCTCATTAGGTGGTGTTGATCTTACAGTGCGGGTCCTCACAACAGGTTACTGGCCTACTCAGTCAGCCACACCAAAGTGCAACATCCCTCCAGCTCCCAGACATGCTTTTGAAATATTTAGAAGGTATGTATTAAAACAGATTTTTAGGTAGAGGTTTTAAGAAGAAACTTTCTGAACTTAACTTAGAGGTATATTTTGCCATTAGAGTTAAAGATATGCTAGCATACTGCTCTTCTTCAGTTCATGTGAAAACTAGAGAATGCAATGGTCACATTATGAGGCTTGAGGTTTTGGGAGCTTTTAAGTAGAATTCTAGTAAGAGTTAATGTTTTGAAAATGCAAAAGTTAGAAATTTCTTGAGAGTGTCCTTAGTGGCTATGAGAAGTCTAGGTAACTGTTAAAAGCAATTTCCTCTTAAATACAAAACGTGAACTAAGTTTTCAATTTAATTACATTACAGATTTTATTTAGCCAAACACAGTGGGCGACAGCTGACACTCCAGCATCACATGGGTTCTGCAGATCTCAATGCCACTTTCTATGGGCCTGTTAAAAAGGTAAAGTATCAAGATTATGAAAATATTGTGGATTTCCTTACTTTTTAAGAGACACATTTATAACAATTTCAGAATCTTGTAAAATAAAAGCTTACCCATTGATAATATAAGAATAAGAAAAAGATGCCTTCAATCAGTTTTATAGTCTGAGTCTTCCTTTGTAGCAGTTTTGTTTTTGACTTTCCCCCCCCCCTCTAAATCTAATTTGAATGTATCACTCAGCACCATCTCTTTGTTACCTCACAGAAAAGTAGTAATTTTGATCTTGAAGGGACCTCAGTGGTTTGAGTATTTTGGGGTTTTTTGACTGTGAATCAGTCAAAAGTGAAATGAAACTTGTTTCTCTTTAGAGTAATTTTTGTTAATGTGAAAAAGTGTTGTTAAGCCAAGTTTAGCCTGCTTTTTGTATGCAGAGTGCTAGCAAAGTAGACAACATTTTTTTCAAACATGAGAATCTTAGTAGAGTTTATAGAAGTACAATGCTTAATATTTATTTATACAAGAAAATAATTTGTTAGTGATTTAGACCGGTTCTAAAATGCTAAGCTAGAGGTACTAATGGCATGATGCTTGGGAACATAGAAGGCAATACAAAATGAAAACAAAATTTTTATAACACTAAGTATTAATAATGTGCATTTGTGAGGATGTTAAAATTATATTACTGTAGGATAAATATTTTGATTAATTTTAAAGATAAGAGTAAGAAAACTGGAGGATGGGCAAGTAGTGGAACAGGGGCCAGAGAGGTGGTGGAGCATCCGTCCTTGGAGATGCTCAGTATTTGACTGGACACAGTCCTGAGCATCCTGCTCTAGATGGCCTGGCTTTAAGTGGTGGCTGGACCGTGGGACCTACAGCGGTGCCTCCAACCTCAGTCACCCTGTGATTTTAAGACAGTTACTGGAGAGACATTCTGTTTATGCCACCAGGCGTATGCTATGCTATCACTTCTGTAGAGTGATCTCCTAGGTAATTATTTAATCAACTAACTTTCATTTTACCAAGGTAAAATATTTTGCAGTGGAGGGTAATCTAATAGTAGCTTTGTAATTTTAAAATAGGAAGATGGCTCAGAGGTTGGTGTAGGAGGTGCCCAAGTAACTGGCTCAAATACACGGAAGCACATATTGCAAGTCTCCACTTTCCAAATGACGATATTAATGCTCTTTAACAACAGAGAAAAATATACATTTGAGGTAAGCATTATGGTTTTCTCACTTGATTTTAAGTAACTGTTTTAGGCACTTTCTTGTCCTGTTGAATAGACCTTTGAAGATCAGGTGCTTCTCATCCTATGTGAGTGTGGATCAGGCCAATAAATACAGTGAGCAGATCATTAGCAATACACCTGGGAAGTAATCCTAGGAGAGGAAATTATTTGGGAACAGAAGTTTTCAGAAATGTTGGAGAGCTGCGAGTGTGGTTATTCCTAGGCCATAGAGCTATAGAAAAGCTGAAGTTGGAATGCAGCAGGTGGCTCTATTTGCTCATTTTATCTTTGAGAAACTGGATTTTGAAGCCAAAGGGTGGAGACGGGTTTGTATCCTGGCTTCTTAAACACTGAAGTGCTTAAATTGGCAGGTGGGAGTGAGCTGTAGGATGAATCAAAGAACTTTCATCCCTTCTCTGAGCTGGTGAGCCAGAAAGGACAATGAAGAAGGGCCAGATAGATTCTTAACAAGGAGACTAGAGGGGCATTGCTGGGAAAGGTTGAAGTGGGCAGCTAATAGACAACAGTGAAGAAGCCTTTGGGAGTGGAGGAGGATCCTGTGCTGTGAGGTTTGAGCATTGTATTGTTAATGTCAATTAATAGTTTCATTTTATATGTTTGAGAGAGCATTGGCAGCCTTGAAAAGCAGTATGGGTGCAGTTTGAAATGGAGTGGTTTTCTGGGTTTTCTTATCTACTTTTGACTGTGCTATGCAGAGTAATCATTTGTCTTTTTATTTGGACTTTGTTTTCAGCTTATTTGGCATACTTCTAGCCTGTTAATAAAGAATGTTTCTTTGAAACGGTCTCAGTTGGGATTAAGAAAGCCAGGGTTTGATAAGAGGCTCTTAATAAATTACTCATAGTTCAAAAAAAGATTATTTTGGAGCACAGAAAGTCCTGTGTGTTGTGAAATCTATTCAGGAGCTTTGAGTACTTTCTCTGCAGAAAAGTGGGGGGTGGGGATGGGACTTAATAGCTCATTTTTTCTTGAAGTTGGTGTTGAAATCGGGCTGGTGGCTACCTGATTCCACAAAATTGTAGGCTTTATGAGTAGTAGAGCCTCACCCATATATGAATAAATAATACTTGGTAGAGCAGTGAAAAATACAATTTTTAATAGGTGCTCTAATTATAGTTTATTTTACTAAGACCAGATGATAGAGAAATGTGTCCATGTGCTTTTAGGTTGTGTATGTTTTTTGTTTCTGGTTTGGGAGTTCTTAAACTCTTACTTTGTGTCCCACTGTAACTAAAACATTAAGAAGGCGTATTTGTTTGTTTTGGTTTCTTTGGTGAAGCACGTGGGAGTTGTCTTTAACTCCGGCCAGGAAAGCTTATGAAAACTTAAAAGCAGAACGAATTTTATCTTTGTTCATTGATTATTGAATACCATGATTAATTGCTGAGTGTTGGGCAAATGTTATTTCTCTGTCATATCAAATTAGTGCTTTTACTGCAACATAGTATGAGATGACTTGTGGTGTGTGCTTGTGTAAGCATAAAACTTTGATATACAAGTGTTTCTGCAGATTCACAGCTGAACAGATTAATTTGAAGGTGCCTTCACAGTTGAACAGACTTTGCTGTTTTGTTTTGCATTCAGTGTGATTATTAATTGCAAACTTGACAAGATCCTCACAGTAATCCTAACAGCCATTAAGCCATGTGATTGAGAGAAAAATGGGATAATGATGATACAAACATTATGCATAAGATGCTACAGAAACCTAAAGGATTATTGCGTAGCAAAATTCCTTCACAAAAATGTATGAATTTATTGTATTCCTATGCAGCAGTGTTTTATTTATATATGCAAAAGAACTGGTGGCCATATGGGTCTAGGTTAATGCTATTTGAATCTAAGAGGAAGGATCTTCATGCAAGCCTTCAAAGAATGCTATTCTTTTTAAAGAATTCAATTTCTTCTAATCAAGCCTCATCTAATACTCAACATACTTGTCTGTTAGTTTACAGTACCTGTCAGTATTTTAAAAGGTGAAATGCACAATTTTTTAATGATGACATCAAAAATAAGGGGAAAATTTTTTGTTCATTCTTTAGGTTTAACAAACAAATAGAAATGTGACTGTAGTAGAAGTTGTTGAATAATTCCACAAAAATGAGAGATTAGAACTTAAAACTGGCTTACCTGTTTTCTCTTTTGCTGATCTCTGCTTTGGAAGATACACAAGTTGGTCTGTAAATAAAAATAAAAATATTTTCTTCCTGTTTTTGTCATTTCAACAAAATGACGTGATGTTTTTCCTTCTGCACATTTTCCTTCTAATAAACTTTCTTCCTGCTTAGAACTGGACAGAGGCAGTTCCATGCCTAGAATTCTCTCTTGTAGCCTCCAGATAGAGCTCACCTGGTAATATTTTTAGAACTGAGATTGTGTAATCAGTACTGTTCTTGTTCATGACTAGTGTGGCCTTTAAAATAAGGCATTTATGGAGATGGGGGAAAAAAAATACATTTTTCACTGTTGCATCAAATATCTATATAAAAATATGTTTAGAAAAATTATATGCTACAGACTGAGGGAAAAAGAGAGCATAGGAACATCTGTTATCCCCATTTACATTCATAGCTACACTTTTTTTATCCAACTTGAGGTTTTTGCAGCCTTCTGAGGCAGCATACTGCAGTGCAATTCTTTCTGTGGTTCTTATTTTAATGCTAGCTTATAAATTCTGAAACCCAAATGGTTTGCATACATTAGTGGCTGAATTGGAATGCTACAGAGAGAAGTAAAATCAACACAGAAATACATAGTTGTTAGTATAAGGCTGTTTAGCATCAAAAAAAAAAAAGAATTCCATTTTAGCTCTTTGTTTCACTTTCATCAAAAGCAGAGTGTATCTGTTTCCTTGTAGAATTGACTTAGTTTTGAAAGCATTAATTTTAGGTGTTCATCAAAAATCAAAATTTGGGAGCTTGCATGTCACAGGCATTACATCATTAATAACCTGGATTTGGTTTGTAGCCTCAAGGCTACATTTACCTAAGTCCTAAAATCTAAGTGTCACCTTCCTTTGGTTTGTTAAATTTATGCTGATCAATCCATTTCAGTAAGACCTTTTTTTTGTGACCATGTAAAGGATTATAGTGTTTTGGGTTTTTTTTTAATATTACTTTGTGCCAGATCTGGAAAAAATGCATGAAGGTGGCAATTGTGTTTTAAATAAAGCAACAAATGAAGAAATAGTCTTTCTGTGAGCTGCTTGGGAAGAGGCATTTTGATACTGGCAAGTAGTTAAAATATCTGGATTCATGTCACTTATTTCAAATTATATGAATATTTCTGAATGCATTATGCTAACAGTACTCTTAAGAACATGTTATTATTTCCTAATCATCCATAAGCAGTATCAAAAATTCTGAAATTTTTTAATTTTAGACTTACTGATTGATTTTTTTTTTTTTTTAATTTACCTCATTCAAATGAATTTGAATTCATGTCAAAAACATGATTTCACATAAAGAAAACATGGTACATGTAATGTTGGGTCTATAGTTGAAAAGTAGGCATATTCTGTATGAGCTTTGCCATCACAGAGACCTGGTAGTGAGATGTATACAAGATGTGCTGTAATTAATGACAGAGTCCAAGTAAAGGCCAGTATATGCATATTATTTTTATTGCATGTTTTCAGTACTGCATAACCACAGAAGAGAGGCATTTTTTTTTTTCTGGATTGATTTTAAGAAACTTGAGTACACTCAAGAAATAACATCATTTAATAGAACTTTGTTGTACTCTGAAGTTAGATTTTTCTGTTTACAGTACTTTTAACACGTTTTTTATAGGTCTTTACATAGCATTTTGGTCACTGGGAGTTGTAACTGCGGCTTTTAGCCTGGAGGTCATCAGTTTGACTTGTGTGCCGTGAGCATTAGCAATTTATGGGGACAGTGGAAGAGCTTGATGCTGCTCTTGGAACCGAAGGTGGGGAAGCTGGGAAAGCAACAGCTCTTGTGGACAGTTACATGTCTGTGAGGTTTATTTTTTCTATTTGGTAGTTTAATTGTTAGCTGCTAGAGGTCCCTCAAGAGTCTGAATGGGAATGTGAAATCAGAGAAGTCTGCAGTTTCCTCAAATTAGAAACAGGAAGAAAATAGAGATAAGGCTAAAATGAACTTCTAATGAATGGGAGTTTAATAAACAAGTTAGGTTTGAGGAAGCAGTAGTAGTTGGCCTACTCCTAGAGCACTTAAGGCATCATTTTGCATTCCAGTATAATTTGCTTACTAACTCGTGATCACTGGTGACTTACCTAACATACAGCTCTCAGCTGAACTCTTCAGAATACTGACAAGAGGTGCAACAAGTTATGTACATGTTTTTACAAACATTCTTCTTCAAAGTTCATAAATTTGCTGCACTGGGGGTTTTTTTCTGTTTTACCTGGAGAAGTCCTAGCCAAGGGCATCTGGGCTGTAAACAAATTGTTCCAGGTTATTCACAAAGGAGGTGTAATTAATGTAGAGTATTTCTGTGTTATGGTGAAACTAGACCTTGTTTGCTTCCGTTTGTAAAGATCCTATTTTCAACGGTGCTGCTGAATGCAAAAGCATTTACACAGTTCTTTGTCAGGAAGGCTCAGGAACATTATGGATGTTTGCCATCGCCGAGTTACTTAGAAGGTTTGGTTTCACTCTGTTCAGCAATTGTTGGAGGCAGTGAACAAATCCTTTCAGCCTTGTCAAAAATTATAGTGAAATGAAACAGCTGGTTATTCATTCTGCTATTTCAGCTCATGGTGACTATTTACTTGACAGAATTCACTGTCTGTGCATTAACCCAGGTGGATCATTTTCAATAGTACATATTGCGACTTTGCTACTGAATGAATTCTAAACTTTCAAGCCTCACAACTGTCATAGTAGTATGATTTTGCATGCTTGAAGGTGGGCATTTTAAGCAATCAGTGCTGTTGTTTGCAAAACACGATAATGAAGATATTTTTCTTTAGGAAATTCAACAAGAGACCGATATCCCCGAAAGAGAACTGGTTAGAGCCCTACAATCCCTTGCATGTGGCAAACCAACACAACGTGTTCTTACAAAAGAGCCTAAATCAAAAGAAATAGAAAATGGACATATATTTACAGTGAATGATCAGTTCACATCTAAACTACACAGAGTCAAGATTCAGACGGGTAAGTGAGCTTTATAGTCTACTGTCTTGCAGTCCCAAAACTGCCTTAAGATGTCAAATTATCTTTTGCAGGGTTGATGTTCATACAAGTAAAAGGAAGAGAGTAATATTTTTTTTTTATGATGATGATGATTGGTTGCATCAAAATGAAAATTAAATATTAAGAAAAGTGTGGAAGTCATAGTTAAGCCTTTTACTTTACAAAATTTGTAATTATCTCTTAAAAGGAAATGTTGAAAGAGAAATAAAATTGAAATTAAATAGCAAAATTAAAAATATGCTACTGATTGATTCAGAAATAAGAAAATTGCCTCATAAGTTGCTTTACTGCTTTGAAATTGAGTGATATTTTTAGCCCATGATACAACAGCCATTTCCAAGTGCCAGGTAGCTATAATGGTTTTGGGCAATGATTTGGGTTTAGCAAATAAGAGAAGGTACAATAGCACTGCATTAGCTCATCAAAGTGCTGGTTTGTTATACATAAGTAAAGTTGGTACCTTTTTGTCTAGAAAGCTCTCTGGAAATAATTTCTGAGTTGTTAGCATTGCTGTAGATATACTTCATAGAGTGTTTTGGTAGATTAGTTCTTAGTTTTAGTACATCTAAACATATTTTCTGACTTTGCAGATCTTTGTATATAAAACATTGTCAGTGATGCTGTGTATTTTAAGTGCAACATCGGTAATTCACATGCTGTTTGTTGCACATAATATAACTTGTTGGGCTTCTGTGCAGCACGCTATGTCCAGGGATGTAAGCCTGTAAAACCCAGTAGTACCTACATACATTACATTGCATGTTATCCCTCTGCATAAGCCATAGCTAGACTGTCTTCATGTGCATGCAGAGTGCTGTGATGTCAACACATTTGCCATGTCTGGAGAATTTTTCTGGTGAGCAGGAGCGCAGCAGCCAAATGAGGATGTTGAGAATTCTCTGATTAGGGCCCAAGGCACTTCTCTGGTATAATTAAAGTCAACTCTGTAACAACTATTTGAGCTTTAGTGGAATTCTGCTTTTTCATTTCCACTCTACAAATGTCAGTGAAAGGGGAATATGATTTGGGATTCAAGATGGGTTTAGAGCAAATTTGATACTTGCGGTGCTATGTTTGTGTCTTATGTAGACTTCTTATGTGTATCTCTTTAAAACTGATAAATATTTGGGGCTTTTGTGTGAAGAAGGGCAGAGGGAAAAGTGGTATAGCAGTGTGGGAGGAGGGCTTGATTATAATGATGCTTGGGTGAAAGGGTAAGAAAAGCTAGACATAAGGGCAGAAATAACATAAATAGAAGAGGAGAACAGAATACAAAGATATAATTGAGTTGGGGAGGATAAAGTTGGACTGTTTCTTCTGACTGATGAACTTTTAAAGTATCTAACTAGTTTGTAAAGTAAATCTTCAATCCTTTTTCTATTTTAATTAATGGATTATTTGATATATTAAAGAGAAGAATATTTAATGGGAGCATGGGGGTTGGTGGTGCCTGTAAGCAGATTTGAGTACTGTTGAAATTTTAACATAGCAGTAATTAAATAACAGATTGTTACCTTGTCAGTTGCTATCAAAATATGCCAGAAAGTGTTAATATGTTCTTGTGGCTGCTTTTCACAGAAAAAAACCCCAAGTTTGAGAATGTCAAAACTCAGGAAAATATAACTTGATGTCTAGATGAAATAAATAGTGAAGCGAACACTTACACAATGAAATAAATTTTAATTTTGCTAACATACTTTACATTCTCTTTCTTTTCTTTAAGTTGCTGCCAAACAAGGAGAATCTGATCCAGAAAGGAAAGAAACAAGGCAGAAAGTAGATGATGACAGAAAACATGAGATAGAAGCTGCTATAGTTCGGATAATGAAATCTAGAAAGAAGATGCAACACAATGTGCTAGTAGCAGAGGTATACTTGTACATAATTTTGATATGGGCTGGGGAATTCTTTTTGCTTTTCCTGTTAATTCATGAAAGTTACACAGCTCTCATTAACATGATTCTGAAAGGCTTTTGAGAGATGCTGTGTTTAATCCATCCTTTTTTCTTTTCTCCCTTTGTATCTGAAGACATCTAAATCCTCACCCTTCAGTTTAGGATGTACTCATGGGTGTATCTAATTTTTCTTCCTCTTAGTGCTATTCTGATGTTATCAAATTCCTTTAAATAACAGTTGGCAACAAAAAAACCTGTACTTTAATTATTTTCTGCTTTGATCTTGTTACTGACTGTTGGGTCCAGATTTGAGAGATTTGAGCTCTTAGCAAAGGGAGAATGAGTCCTGCTACTCTTAACTCCTAAGTTCTGACAGCTTCAGGACCAGTATGGATCTTCCATTCTTGAACTCCCTTAGGCCTGTGAAATTGAGGTGATTCTCAGGTTGTGACCATGCCTCTGTAGAGTGTCAATACTTTGAACTGTACCCAAAAAAATGAGCAGGCAACTGATGGGGGGTAAAAAAACTGTTAAGACGTTTGCAGACTGCTTCTTATGCTTCATGGGTGTAGCCAGCCCTGTCTAAATATATTTTTCTGATTACTTCGGTCAGTTAGGATACTTGATGATCTTACTTGCCCTGTGATCTCATATTGGTTTTGATCTTATGTTCTAGGTAACTCAGCAGCTGAAGGCCCGATTCTTACCAAGTCCAGTTGTTATTAAAAAACGTATTGAAGGACTTATTGAGAGAGAATATTTGGCACGAACACCTGAGGATCGCAAAGTATACACTTACGTAGCATAAAATGCGTTCAGAAAATTTGATTTATTCTTGGACTATACTCTTCGCATGAACTGGGAAGTTCTTTTAAATCATTAATATTAAGACGACCATCTCTTCTATTAAATTACAATACATGTTCTAGACCATTCAGATCAAGCCTTTTACTCCTTTTGAGAGTTTTCAACATCAATTGATTGAGCTTCAGGCTTTTCAACGTTATCCCTGTAGAGATCATCCTTACAATTCTTCGAGAAAATGTGAATGTGCCGCGTTTGTTTTCAATACTGTATGAAAACAGAAAAATAAAAACAAATTTAGAAAACACAGCTCACTTAAAAAAATAAAATTGTTGGAATTTCATTTCCCCAGATCTTCAGTGTTGATGTAAATGTGTTTCTGTAGTGTTGCTTAGCACTTCGCGCATTGTATAAGTTGGGTTTAAAAGAAACCACAACTGGGAAGGCAGAATTCCCAGTTATATTGCTCTGCTTCAAATGTTTCTTTAACTAGCCATGTTTAATTTAAATATTTGGTAATCTTTTGATGACCCAAGAAGACAACTTGAGCATGTTTCACTCTTCCAGCTGCACTCACTGTTCCAACAACATGAATCAGGAACTTCTGGGGGCTCAGAAAAGACCGTAATAATTTTGGCTTTCCCTTCTGTAATTTGAGTTCTTCTAAATTAAACTCTATATTGATTAGGTTTGTTCTGGTTTCTTTATAGGAAAAAGGAAAAGATTTTAGTGTGTATAAACTGTATAATAATTTTTGCTGTTGTACTCACTGCTGATGGTGGATTGTACAGGGCGATGTTTTTATTTCACTAAATGTAGACAAAATAAATTTAAAATAAATGGATTTAGTGTACACAAACACCTAATTCAAGTGTGTTAGAGTACAGGGTTGACAATCTTTTGGAACTAAATACTGTCCCCTGGGGAAACGTACTGGGATTATATTTTGTTAATAAACATCATAGATGGATCTGTAGCCCCAGGGCTTCCCATCATAAGTGCATATTTCAGGAGATTAAAGTGAAGCCAGCATGCACTATTTGTTTTTAAAAATGCATTTTAAACATGCAATAGAAAATTGTTGCTGTAATGAAATTTTTAGTTCTTACACTGGAACTTTTTTCTTCTTGTCAGTGTGGCTGCAAAAATAGATTAAAAATTGCAGTTTAGTGGCATCATTATTCTCATAGTTAGAAATGGTTTGAAGTGTGCATTGTACTGCAGAGTTTTTATTAAACAGTGTTTCTGACATTCCAATGCACATATTACATGGTTTCTCTGCCATAGCTATTTTTCTGTTTTCATTCAAAACAATATTTTTTTTCTTGATTCACATTACTTTCATCCATAGATACTGAAAAATATAGTTGGGATGGGCTTCCCAATATGTAGAGCTGTAGTTGAAACAAAAGAAAAACTTGGTTGTAGAGCATTAAGACACTGCCAGAGCATTTCTTGATTAGCCATATTAAACAAATATGTGGTGGTGGTGTAATGTAGCAATGCGATTGGACAGTATTTTTTCATAAAGTGTCCCCAATTTCACCCCTCTCCAGCCTGTTAAGATACAGATCCTGGCTATTGTTCAGTAGTAGGATATTTCTTCCAAAGAGGGAGTGGAATTGGGTGATATTTTAGTCTGACTATTCTGAAGCTTTTCTTAAGAAGCTTTACGTAAGTTTACTGCACCCCCCCCCCCAACACTCACACGCACACATAAGTAGCTTTTAAGTCATCAGAGGGGAGGTGGCTGACAGACTTTCGTGCCATTGTTCTTCAAGAATTTAGCCCTGAAAGAAAACAGCTAGGCCATTGGCCATTCTAAAAATGTATTTGCTGACAGTTACTAAAACACCTGTGTCTCTGTACAGTATATGCAAAATTTCAATAGAAATGTTTAGCCATAGAACAATACTAAATATGGGTCGGATGAGATCTGGGGTTTGGATTGTGCTTAAGTCATGAGAAACATCTTCCTCAAAATGTAACTCGCTCTTCCATGTATCAGTATGAAGGTTTTCTTTTATGTGTATCTTATTCTTTAATAGCATGAATGTTGTGATAATTGCATGTTAATGCTTTCCCATGTGCTTTTCAAGGAGAAATGGGTTCACATCCTTTTTCCCTGTGAAGCTTATAGAGATGCTAATGTTGCTATCCATGACAGGAGGACTTTGTCCTTAGTGTTGCGATTGTACTTTTGCTGTGCATCAGCTGAAGCTTTCTACCTCTGGTGGCTTTTTTAAGTGGTGAGCCTGAATGTTCCATGAATGACTGTATAATTACGTGTTTAAGGGTGGGTTTTTTTTACAAGCTACGTGGGCAAGAGTGTTTGCTAGAAGAATAACAGGTGGTGATGGCTATCTTCAGTAACAAATACTAAGAGTATAGTTTCCATTTTAAATTTAATAGAATTTTGAAGACACTGTTCAGGAAGGGACTTTTGCTGAAGTCACCTTTTGGAAATGTGCCCTTTACTGTTGAACAACGAGATCATGATACTGAGGATTTAAAGATGGAGAATGTGAAAACTCTGGTCAAAGAGAACAAGATGTCATTAGAACTCTGCTTAAGGTGAGTTTCATGCTCATGCCTTTACACTGTTGGTGTACATTACTGAGATTTCTTTTACAGTCCCCAGTAGAATTCTGCTGTGCCTTACCTAATTTCATTTTTGCTTCCTTTCTTAATTTCTACTTAAAGCTTCTTTGTAATCTTGTTAAAATTTAATCAGTAGGATTGTAGTTACATGTATGAGTGTGATTATTAAGTTTGGCTTCCTTGCATTTATGTGCAGTTAAATACAGTAACAAGACGTAATAAACATGGAGTTTAATTCTTCAGACTTTTTAAAATTAGAAGTAGGTTTTGAGTTTTCTAGCTATTTGAAGATACATAGGCATGTACCTTCCTTGTAGACAAGTTTACTTCAAAGGGTCGAGAGTACACTTCATTTACCATCGTAACAAATAAGATTATCCTATGTATCCCTGATTTAGTTCTTGCTGTTTTCAATCTTAGCTTCCTTTACAGCTTTGATTTGCTCTTTTTGTCTCCTAGAATTAATCTGTACAATTTCCCCACTTGCTACAGAACAAATGAATGTTAAGCATGTCTGCAAAGCAGACTGAATCCTGGATGCTAAACTACTCTTGAATGAAATACCGCTCCTCGCTCCCTTCCCTAAAGACAAACTTTGTCCTGTCGACCCTAAAGCTTTCAATGTAACACCATCTGTTCTTGTTACCTTTGCTCGTTGTGAATTGGCAGCTGCCATAAGATTTACATTTCTGGACTTGTAAAAACAGAATCATTGCACTAAATATTCTGGATGACTGAAGTAATTTTATTCACGTGTTGTAATCAAATTGTACGGTGCCTGATAGGTGGCACATATATATGGTAATAGAGCCTGTCATGCATGCTTTAGGGGATAAGCTTACACAGAGATGGGGTTCCCGTTTTGTCAAAAGTAGCAAAAACTGGAACTACTTGTGGCCTCTTGTCCTATGTCCAGAACTGGCCAGAACCTTCATAGCTCAATCAAACTCCTGAACTCTGCGTTGTTAATCAGTGGTTAGAGGCGAGGTGGGCTCTGATCGTTAGCTCCCAGTTCCTCGAAGCCCCTGTGGAGTAGAGCAAGGATTTGACAGTCTAGAACTAGGCTCACAGCAGTGTGCAGAGCTGATAAGAGGCATCGTCTTGTGTCTGTACCGAAGTCCCATTTCTGTTAATATTCATTTTGATATCTTGGATAGTAAATGAAATAACCAATGTGCATGAGTTTAATGGCTCTGTCTTCTGGAACGTGTCATGTGAAAACTTTGTAAAATGCAGAACTTGGTGTTTATCCAGTTTTCAGCTGGATATATGTAAAGAACAGGAGAGTAATTCATCTAACTTGCTGTCCTTCAGTATGTAGGGAAGTGTTCATAGATTGGATTGGATATTCTGGATCTTTCAGCTGGCTTTATCCATGTTTTAACTCTGTACTGGGTACGGCAGAGGTGAACGTTACTGTAAAAATGTAAGGATGCTGTTTTAAATGAAAGTAGCGGCACAGCTTTAACAAATGGCTGCAATAAACAGGCGGTGCGCAACACCCACATCAGTGCAACCTGGCTTACATTTTGTGGGTATGGTGGTCTCTTTCAGAGCAGCAGGTCTCCCCAGGTGCACTGCGGTTCATACGTTTGGTGTAACCTTATTGATGTGACCAGAGCTCTTGCTGCAGGAAGGTACTGCTGTGATGGCATTAGTACGTGTCAAGTTTGTAAAACAGCTTCATTTCTGTCAGGGTCCTGCTCTTCTCTTCATTTCTCCAAAACTGGAACTTCGATGGGGAGTGAGTCCATGGGAGCTAATGTGTTTAATATCATTGAGAGGAACATGAAGTTTACGGATAGGAAATGAAGTAACATTTGAACTGAACAGCAGTGATGTTCTATTAATTATTCTTTCTCCTGCAGTTCAAAACTTAGCTTGCGTTCCAGGTACAACAGACGCTGAGGCACCCTCCGATCTTAATGACTGCTGTTCTGTTCCTCCTCTTTGAACAACATACCGCTGCGGTTCGCTTCATTTGTGTGCCTTATCCTTCAAATGCTGGCAAAGCGTTGACGTTTGATCTGTCAGAAGCCGAAGCTAAAAAGCGAAGGTGGCGCGCCGTATCGTGCACGCTCAGGAAGGACACGTTTAGGCAGCGGAGTGACGTGTGTTTGCAGCGAGGGGCTGTTGCGCCGTCATCGCAGCGTGTCGGCCGTCGTGCAGGGAGGAGAGCGCATCTCTGGGGAGGGCAAGGGAGGCGCGAAACTTCCGAGATCATTGTGCTGGGAGTTGCCAAGGCCTGCGCAAAATGGGCTTTTAGTAACTTGTATTCATCATGTATTAAGATGGTAAGCTGCGCTGGTAGCTTTGTGGCATCCTGGATGACTTCCAGCGAGAAGTAAGTATGACCAGAGCTGCCCCTTCACCCAAAAAAGCAGCGTCTGCGGTCCAGAAGCGCTCCGAACCTCAGAAGTTGTGACGCTGGTAGAAACGGCGCCAGCAGGGTGTCCGGGGCGGCCGCCGCCTGTGCTCCC